TATCATCTACATAAAAACTTAACTAAGCCATAAACATAAAAAAAACTTTTTAATTCTTTTAAGGAAAAATACAAAAAAATACTGTCTGCAAATGTAACATTTGAAATACTAAAACGATTTTATAAATTATTACATTTCTCTCATAAAAGTAGTTTAACAAAGTATAATATTTATAGTACCTATTCATTTTTTAAAACGTTTTTCATAAATAAATACTATTTTTTCGATTACAAATTATGATATATACATTTTTTCCTGTGCACCTGCATTTGATTTCCTAATAAATATGAATCTCTAACTAACTGAAAAGACTCCACATTATTTCCCATTCGACTTTGTTTATTTACCTTATGAATATGACAAAATTAAGCTGACAATGAGAAGCTGATATGGCGATATTGTTGTCTTTTTTTTCCCTGTGTACCCCTCTACCCAAACCCTTTTCGGCCAAGTTGCCCACGCGAAACAGCTGCCCAAGCTCCAAGAGAAGGCGAAGGAGGTTCACATTCAGTTGGAGACGAGGGGCAGGAGATCGGAGATCGGAGATGGAGCCCCAGCTGGCGGCCCAGCTGCCACTTCTGGGTATTTCTCAGTGGGCGCAGGAGAGGATTGGCGGCGGAACCAAACTGGATTGGATGGGCGCGGCTTTGGCTGAAGCCATCTGCAGATCATCATCTTCTGGCCACAGCGAAAGTTGAAGCGAAATCTAGCCAGGGGATTCTAGAGCGGTTATAGCCAGTAAAACCCATTGGGGTTAATTCCCCGTAAACACCTTTGTCATGGCAGCTTTTTCAATAATCTCTTCGCTTATTTCATTACCATTATTATAATTTACCACTTAGAAAGGTTATTCCACTCTGGGAACGTAAAGAATTTACATTTTTCCATGTTACTTAATGAAAAAGACGGTTAGAAAAATATTTGCATGCAATGGCATAACAATTATGCCCTAATTACCCTAAACTAAAAACAACAACTAGGCAAACGTTTACTTTTCGCTAATTTAGCAATGGCTGCTAGCGGGTTAAGTTGGCTAAAAGGCTTATCCTAAGCCACAAATGCCAGTGGCGGTAGACACGGTGGAAAACCCAACCAGTCCGAGAGTCGCCGCCAAATGTCCGTCCTTCTGTTTGTCCGCCAAGTCCGCCTGGCAAAAATGCCATCTGAGGCTAACTGGGCGGCGAGGCGAACTGGTTGCCCAGGCTGTTTGGTGCACAGAGAATATTGGGTGGAGACTTGCAAATTTTTAAAAATTTAATACCTAAAGAATCATAGAAGATGTTGGGATGCTAGTTTCTGAGGTCTGAAGAATATAAAAAAAGTTCTTAAAAAATTGATATAAAAAAAGGTAGAAGCTCTCTTATCTTACAATTTAAATTTAAAGAATAAAAGATCTAAGTATTTTATAAACCATTCTTATTCTAAACGAAAAATTTATGATTTTATTTTTTCGAATCAGACTTATTAAGATGAGGGATCTTTTATTATCCCTAAGTCCTTAAATAATCCCTAATCCTTAGTGGTATGATATATCTCATATAAGAAGGTATGTAGATAACACATTTTAGTTCTTTTTAACGATCTCGTTTTATAATGGAATATCGTAGCACTTCTTATCAAATACATAGATGGTTAACAAAAGTATCTCAAGGATTTTCGCCACGTGTGGTGCAGCTGGTGGTGCGGTGGCTTGAATTACAAAAGGAGCTGAGCCGAGCCGGGTTTCAAGTTAGCCTGGGCAGCCGAAGGCAGCCGCGGCAACTGTTTTTTTTACCTCTTTGCTTTTTATTATAATTTCAATTTTGTGTATCTATGAGATACGCGCAACGTGAATTGGCATTTTCCATTTGGCAATTTGCATGTGCAATGCATTGCAATGCGGGACCCGGTCTCGAGATCCAAACAGATCCAACAGATCCAAAGATCCCTGCCAAACAGTCCGGGTAATTAAAGCGCCATTAACGCCCCATCATCATGGGAATGGGTTGGCTTGAGTCGGCCTATGGGGATGATGATGGGTATTCACGATGGACGATGACGAGGTGGCCAGGAAATGCAATTAACCGATTGGCCCACAAGCCGTGCTCATTCGAAAGTCGCCGTTTTGTGGGACTCCGTTTGTTGATCGCTGTTTGCTGTTTGTTGTCCGAGCCAAAGTGTGCCTGTTATTGTTATTGCCATTGCTGGGGCTGGTGCTTTTAACCCACCGCAGGCCCATTCGACCAGGTGCTCACCAGGTGAGGCTGCGCCACTCTGCGTCTGTATCTGCGGCTCGAGTGTCCAAATTGCTGGCGGGGATTGCATAAGCCGCCCAGCCAAGATGCAATGATCAATCAGGCGGCCCAATCAGTTAGCCAGTCCATCAATCATAACGAGGCCCAGGCCCTCACTCTCTGGCTCATTTTCAAGGAAACCGCTGCGTAAACGATTCTACGGGCGGTCTTCAAGATTCTCGTTTATCAGCCGCAAGGCTCAGTCTTGGCACATATTTTCTTTTGACCATAGTTTTTCAATTTACTTTGGGCTTGGGTACAGTTTTTCACATCAATTTACCATATGAGAAATTTAGTATTTACAAGTGAAGTTTAAATGCAGAAAGTTAAACAATTATTAAGGATAAAGACGAGTCTTCAAATTTAATTAAGCTATGAGAGAACATAACAGAAAATATTTTCTTATTACTTAAATTTAATAATACCTTATCCTAACCATTCCCTTAATATTTCCATTTTAAAAAATCATCTATAAATTACAAGCATTATCTTTTATATAGAAAATAAATAAATAAGGAAACTTTTTATATCAATTAAAAAAAAGTGGACTTAAAAATTCTAAAATACAGGGTGAATACTTTTTTGAGTAAAAAGGCTTTCTAAGTTGTAACAAAAAGTTTCCTTCTATTATTTTAAAACAAACATGTCTTTAGATAGCGCCAGGTGCCTTTACATCACTGACCACATAAAACATCCTATACTCAAGTTCTTAATAGTTTCCTAATAGCTCTTTAAGTAATTGTCCAATTTTAAAAATATGATAAGTTAATAGGTACCGACAAAAGAAATGCATTGCAATTATCATTTTATCTGAAGGCGATAGAGAGAGGGTGGCAAATACTTGGAAACAAATTTCTATATAGCTTAAAAGCTATAGCTTGTTTTAAGTGTTTGCCACTTCCCAAGATCTGAACGTAGAGACCTTCTACCTTTTAAACAAATTCCTACTTTTAAACAAATTACTCTTCGAGTAACGGATATACAGATTTTCTTTAAGTTTTAAATAAAATTTTCATATCTGATATATTATATCATTATGTATACCAATTTTTCTGAGAAAATAAAAGAAATCAAGCAAATTTGCAAGGTGGTAAATATATTTCAACACCTTTTTTTTTGAGAACAGCCACTGATAGATTCGTGACTAATGCGGACAGTAAGAACTTTCTTATTTTCAACAGTCCAGATCTATTCCGTGAACTCCAAAGTATTTAGAGCAAATCAAACACGAAGATACAGCCGCAATAAGGCCAACAACAACAAACTAAACAGTTGAAGGCCGGGTGACAATTAACGCATTATTTATTAATATCTGAAAATTGTGTCGCCCGTTAAGCGGTTTACAGATGACGGCTACCAAGACAACAACATAATACCAACAATAACAGCAGGCCAAGGCATTAAATTACATGTTTAAACGCTAACTCATACTTATTGTTAAGAAGGGTACACCAAAAAAATGGAAAAAAGATTGATATAATATATTTTTAAGGAAAAAATCGGAATATCTGAATTTAAAAATCAAATCCTTGGAATACATATGTTTTATTTTGAATGCGTTTCAAATATGTATTTCCACCTACATTATCTATAAACATTTGAATATGTTTTGGAATGAGTTTGCTTGAAAGAATTCAAATTTTAAAAAGGTTGCAGTTTACCATTAGAGGTTTTTTCGAGTAACTTTGTGGAACTTCTTTTTCCTGTGTACTTCATGGTGGTGCAAGTTTCTTAGTTTATTTATTGTTTTTACCTCATTTGCGGTGCGGGCGTCCCAAGAAGAATGAAAAGAAGCGGCTGAAGAATTCTCCACACGAAACCTGGCAATTAGAGCGCGGCGACAATAACAACAACAACAACACTCGCTTACGCTCGCAGAATTCTTGCTGAATCTCGCGGATCTTGAAATCGAAATAAGTAACGACGGAAAAGCAAAGAGTCGCGCTGCACTTTACACTTTTGTGGCTTGAAGCGCTCAGGTGAGACAGGTGCAGCGTTTTGTGTGCCCGCGAGCACTTTCAGCACTTTTGCTGGCCCCAAGATCGAATGCACTCCAAAAAAAAAACCAAATGCCAGCACACACGCGCTTAAATATATTTATTTGCTAAGCCGGCAATAATTGCTATTTTCTTCGGAAAAACGAAATTTGCGGGAGTTATTTGTTCTGGGAATGGGCTTTTCCGCACTGACGACGTGAAGCTCGCGAGAGGCGACGACAAATTGAGGCGGCAAGTAAATTGGAGCCGTCGTCAAAGTGACCGCGCACTGGAAAAAAGTGTTACCAAACCAGTTTTTCGACTGCTAACGCTTTTGCGTTGCCAGATGTTCGAAAGGGTTACCAGTATTTCAAATTTGGTAAGCTTTTTTGTGACTTTCATTTGTTTAAATTAAAACTATAAACGTTGAGGACACCCTTTTTTGCATTACACTTTACAAGTAAAAATGTAAATATAAATTCATCTATAACACAGGTGGACAAAATCTTTTTGTTGCCCCAAGACTATACGCTAAGAAAATCTCAACGGATTTGACTTGTAGATTGTAAAAACAGAAGTTCTGTTCAGCAGTTCTGTTCTAAGCAGCTACATTTGTATATTCCTAAATAAATGATCATAGTCTTCTTTTACCCAAGATCTGGCAACGGCTTGATCGCCGTAAGCTCTAGTGTGACCATCATAATTTTTGGGCGCACCTTTTGAAAATTCCGAAATAAAAGACACACACAAATTGCAATTGTTTAGTAAAGTTGCGAAAGCGTTGTGGAATCGTTTATTCATTCATGTTACAAATGCACTCTTGGAGAGTTTTAGTACTAGCCTAGCGCGATCGCGGTCTTTTCTTCTACACTTTCTGCGGGCCTCTGCAACTGCACTCTTCGCACTTACACTTACAAGTCATTAGAAAGAGATAGATTGAGAGAGTTGAGATGGGCAAGTAAATAACACAAGTACATAGTTCTCTATACATTATATATATGTACGTAGATGTATATACTGTATACGACAAAGCGAAAATAAATGTATATGTGTATATATTTATATTTATATTTATAGTTTATGTATAGATTTGTAGCGCTGTTGCTAATAGTTTTCACATATAAAAATGTTTCCTTTGTTAGACATTTACAACATTTATACCCAAGTGGCAACTATAATACATATAAGTACATTTATGTATATCAATATATATAACTCTTTAGATCTTTTTTATAGGCATATAACTGTACGTAGCTGTTTGTATAATGTAGGTATCGGTATCGGTATCGCTATTAGCTGGGCGCAGGACAAATCGATGGTGGGTCAGAGACAGGAGCAAAAACCTAGGGCTCTCATATCTGTACTACCCATTTTCTGATCTGAACCCTGATATTATGTGGTATGTGTGTGTGGGAGGGGTTGAAAATATAGGCTAGTAAGCTTTGATTTGATAGTGCAGCAAGGTGGCTAGAATTTGTTCGGTTATGTTGCTTTCGATAATTTAAATATTTTTCTCTTAGGTACGCACACTGGTACAAAAGTATGCAAGTATTTTTTAAAGGCAGCGCGGGACTACTTGGACACACATATGTTTTTAGTATAGGCTCTATGTGTATGCTTGTGTGATCTAATATTTAATGGTGGTAATCGTGGATTAATGGGCGGCACTGATTTTGTGTTAGTTAACATTCGCTATAAGTTTACATAGGTTACACTCTTAATATATGTATACATATATATTTATATATAATTTACTGATTTTTAGGGCGGGACAGGTGCTCGCTGATACATCTTTACAATATAAGAAGTCGAAAAGTGCTGGGAGGGGGAGTGTTGTCTGGGCGGGAGCTAGAAGGAAGAAGTGGGAGCGGGGACTGAGGGCGGTGCAGGGGCTAAGTGTGAGAAAGTCTTGACTAAATTTAATGTACAGGACTACGTTGTCTACGCTTCTTCGTCATGTTCATCCTCTAATCGCAATATGATATCCTATATATCTGATATCCTTGCAATGCATCGACACTGTTGTACTTTCGATAGTTTTGCTTTTTTGTGCTGGCATGTTGAGCTTTTACTTTGAAATGGTTTTGCCTGCTGTGCTGGGAACTGCGGGCGAGAGAGAGATAGGGACAAATGGAGAGTATGCGATCAGTGTGACCAACGTTGCATGTAAGGCATGCATGCTTAAAACTTTAAAATAGGATTAACATTAATTTAAGAAAAAACTTCTCGATGGTAAAGTTCAAGAAGAATAAAGAACTGACAAGCTACTAAGCGGTATCTTGTTATCTGATTCTATTGTAATACCTGCTCCATTAGTATACAAATAATACATTAACGGAACATTGCACTTAAAATCGATCTAGAAGATAATACTGACAAGTTTGCGATTGAAACAATCGAAGATCACAAGTTACAGGTAATTTATGAAGTTTGATTAAAGGAAATACTGTGAGGCACCATAAATATATAGTTATTGGGTGTATAGTCTAGATTCTAGACTAGACCCTTCGATATGTTGTTGGCCGCACTGAAGCAATAACACTCCACTGACAGAGAGAGACAGATATAGAGAGTGAGACAGAGAGAGCATGAGATGCAGACGTAGCTGTAAATTAGCCATTCGGGAGCGGGAGGAGGATTACTTTTGGAGGACTTCTGGAAGGAGGGGATCCTTTGGTAGGGGCAGGGGCTGCGCCTACAGATCAAAATAAAACTCAACAAGCATGGCCTAAAACTGGTTGACCTTCAGCTCGTTGCCCTGCAGCTGGACAAGACGGAAGGCCTCGCGAATGGTCGGTGTCATCAGGAGCTTGAGGTTCTCCTCAGCCTCGCCTGGCAGCGAGCGCAGTAGCTCCATAGAGGCCACCACTAGCTGAGCGAGGGCAGCCCTCTTGTAATTGGAGTCCTTGAGGATGCTGCTGGCTCGCTGCTGTTCGATTTCCGGCGAGATGGACTCCGCCTCCGAGGACTTGGCCTGGCGATTGGTGTCAAACGGATTGCTGCGGCACTTGGGCTGGAACTCACTGATCAACGTGGTCATGGTCACGTTCTCCTCCTCCTGCAGCTGAACGCACTTGCTGGGCGAGGTGCTATTGCCAGATCCGGAACCGGAACCCGAGCCTGTATCCGTCATCTCGGCATCTCCATTTCCGTTCAAGGAGATGCACATGGGCTTGCTCTGCGGATGGTGGTGCAGCTGTGGTGGCTTCTGCCGCAGTTTACCCGAACCACTCTCGATTTCATGCAGGGCAGAGTTGCTCAAGTAGAGTTCACATACCAGATTCCAGGCATCCTGCAGGCAGAACAGATACCTCACAAAGTTCTCCTTCTTCTTCACAGTAGTGGTATTCAGTCGGGAGCAGGACTCCAGTATAAAGTTGAGGTCCTCCGGCCCCAAATTGTAGACCACTATATCGTTGAGATGCGAGTCCACCAGCGCAATGTAGTAGATCATCCACGAGGAGGTCATCTGCTTGTACAGATTGGCCGCGTACTCAATGTTCGACACCTTCTGCATGAGGAACTTGAGACCCGGTCGCGAATCAAACTCCAGGGCCGACATCAGGTACTGCTTGACGCAGCGCAGCAGGATCTCCTTGGAGCGGAAGTCCAGGTCGTAGTCGTGACTGGGTGAAGCCGCTGAAGCGGCATAATTGTCGAAGATGCAGGTGGACACCGCCTGTGGCACACACTTTAATCGCGACAGCAGCAACTTGGCCACTAGTTGAAGCAGCATCTGGTTGGCCAGCAGGCCCACAACCAGGTTCTTGAATGGAATCCGGATCACAAAGTTATCCAGGTTCGAGTTGAAGCCATTGTTAAGTGGATACAGGAGGAAAGAGTAGCTCCTGTCGTCGGATAATTTGCACTGCGCGGCACTGGGCGTGGGAGCCTGATTCTGTCCCGGTTCCCGCTGATTGTCCGACAGGAAGACTTGCTGTGCCAGCGCATAGATCCTGGCCAGTTCCTCCAGACTGCTGTCACGTCGGGCAGCCACCTTTACGTTGGCGCAATCCCCGTAGAAACTATTGGATTTCTCGTGGAAAGCAAACGAAAGCTGACGCAGTGGAGCAATCGTTACGGTGCAGGCGCGATGGATGGCCGAGCAGGCGATCATCCACTGGGACTCGTTAAAGAGCATGCCGGTGGAGAGGATCACGTGTTTGAGGCAGGACACCGAGATCCTGGCAATCGCCTCCTGTGACTGGGCAGCACATTCGATTAGGACGAGGAGCAACTGTTTCAAAGCCAGCGTTGCCGAACCCGAGATCTTGGTGGGTGATTCTATAAGGTTCGATCCGCCTCCTCCTCCTACTCCGCCACCTCCGTTCTTCTGCTGCTCCTCGCTGGCGGAGCTAGAACTGCTGTCGTACTGCTGGTTATAACCACATCCTTGATCCTGAACAGGTTGTGACTGCTGCTGCTGCTCCCTTTCAATTCTCTCCGTTACAAACTTTAGTTTGGAGTACAGCAGGTTGTCCGCCGGGTGAACTATCTGCGCCAATCGTGTCTTTGTGCCCGCTCCCAGGCGCCGCTGCTCAGGCACCGACTTTTCGATGAACTCCACCACCAGATCGGTGGTCATGCAGCAGCAGTGCTTGAAGTTCTTCTCCACCAGCTGCCAGGAGGAGCCCGTCTTGTTGATGTACCGCAGCCAGTCCTGGATCATGGGCACCAGCAGATGATTGATGCAGTAGAAACCGAAATCGATGCCCGGACTGGCCAGCAGGTTTTTGAACAGCTTGAAGATCGTCTGCAGGATGGGAGCCTGGTGGGAGTAGGGACAGACGATCAGCGAGTTGGTAAGTCCATCAAGCAGCAGGAACCACACTTTGAGCACACCCGACGGCTTGTCCATCTCATCGATCTTGACAATGGTGTCCTTGTCAATATGCAATGATCTGTAGGATATCATGTATTGCTCATTCCGCGTCTGCAGATAGTCATTACCGAAATACGTAAAGTTCTCCATCGAACTGGGTATATTCGCATCGATGATGTGCGTGTAGGAGATGCCCTTGATCTTGTACGTCGAATGGAAATTGGGACACTTGGGCATGCTGTGCATGAAGCCCAAAATGCTGGAACAGCGCTCCAGGAAGCGAAGGGTCTCATGGAGAAAGTCCGTGGGCCGGAAGGTGTTGTCTTCCTCCTGTTGGCCACCATTTGATCCAGTTCCTCCCGCTGCAGTTCCACTTCCGCCGGAACAGGAATTGTTATTCCCTCCACCAGAGATCTCCAGGTAGGAGAGCAAGCACAGAATGCAATCCAATCCTGCGTTGGCAAACACCAGCGTGTTGTCCGAGTCGAGGAACACCCGGAAGATGTCGATGATGTTGCTCATGTTCAGCATCCGACTGCGGGCATTCCGTAGGGTTCCGAAGAGGGGTCGCCATCCGGAGCGGATCTCAGTGCGGTGCGCCTCCACCACCTCGTAGAGGCAGGCCACGATCTGATCCTGCACATCCACATCCGTGTCCATGCTCAGCAGATTCTCGAACGGCTTCAGCAGCGCCTCATTGAAGTGGAAGTACGGCAGCTCCGACTGCTCCACCAAAAGCGCCGTGATGATGTCGTGGATATACTCGATCGCCCGCTTCGAGATCATCCGGTCCCGGTGGCAAGCGGCCTGAATATATAATAATAAAAATATAATTAAAATAGATAAAATATCAAGCAGAAGTTTATATATATATATATATGTTGTCATAAAAATCATATTAAATAATAATATGTTCATGGAATTATACTCACATCCATCAGATGCGGTCCTGTGATAGCCCAGACCTTGAGAACGTGCAACAGTGGACGCGAGCTTCGAAACACCTTGAGCGTGACATCTCCAATCCTATGGAGGAGCAGGGACATGGGCAGCGAGTCCAGCTTCTTCCAACCCTTGCTGGGCCACCAGATGCGACTGCCCTTGCGAGCCACCTGACTCTTGTATAATTGCTCCCTGGAGGCGCGGCACAAATGCTTGAGGAACTGGCACAAGGAGGGCAAACTGAGCCTTTCGGCTGCGTCTCCAAAGAGGTTCTCCGCCTGGTGAGACAGGGCGCAGAGCACTTTGGAAGTGTCGCTCTGACTGAGCAGCACCGTCTCATTCGTTCCCGAGTAAACCTTCAAAATGGAGGTGATGTTCGTGTTGGGACTCTGCATCGGTGCCTGCAGGAAGCTGTACACATCCACACTGTGGGGGAGAATTGAAAGGTAATTGGGTGAAAATGCCAGGGGAAAAGAGTCCCTACCACGTCTCATCATCATCGATAGGTATGGAGGATAAGTTGAGCTTGTCCTGGGCATTGCCGTTGCTCAGCTTCTCGCCCGTCTCCAAGTCCCGGCGACTGCTGCCGGGCGATGCGGAAATCGAAGGGTTCTGCATGCTAAAAATCTCGTGCTCCAGCTGGCTAACATGCCGGCAAACGGCGAAGATGCTCGGCCAGCAGTCAGCACTGTAGCTGCCCAGATTCAGGCCGCCGGTGAGCACCACGTCCATGGACATGGCCTGGCTGGCGGAGATTCGCGGCCCGGAGGTCTGGCAGACATTGGAGGCCAGCAGGTTAAGTATCTTCCCGGCCAAATGCTGCAGATTCAAACTATTGCTGAGCGTGGCGGCCTGAGGGTAAGAAAAGTCTGGTATAAGTATAGAACTAGTAAAAATTTAAATCAACTCCTTACCGAGTGCAAACCGTCCAGACACATGGCATAAAGGGCCTCTCCATTCGATTTATTCGCCTTGGCCTTCACCCTTAGTGTTCGCTTGGACAACGCCACCAGTTTGTTGGATGCGGAACTGGTCTGCAGATCGCCCAGCCCAGAGCTCAGCACGATGACCATCGAGTCCCAGCAGCAGGTGAGCAATCGGCGGCACAGCTTCTTGGCCGCCTCTCTGCGCTTGTCATGGAGCTGCTCCTCCTCCTTGTGCTTCACATTGGCCGTCTGCAGGCGCTGCCACTCGGATAGCATCTGAGTGGCACCCAATCCTCCAGCATCGCACAGCATATCGACGAGGGCGCAACGCGGCCCCATCCCCTCCAGCTGCTGACGGGGCATGGCCTCCAGGACGTTGCACACGGTCACCGATTGGTAGAGCTCGCACAGCCACGGCGAGGAGAGATAGACGAGGACACCAGTGTTCTGCACCGAGGTCACAAACTGCTGCTCCGACATGGGCACCAGGATGTCCTTGTGGGAAATACCCTGGGCCACCTGCTCGTAGTAGCCGGCCCGCATCAGCTGCAGGCTGAGCAGCAGCGAGGAGTAGATGGCCAGATAGATCCCGTCCGCATTAATGGCGGTTAGGTTGTAATCAAAGTCCGAGAAGTTCATGCTGTTCTCCTGGCAAACGGCCGAGGCAAACTCCTGCATCGCCTCGTCCAGTTCCACGCAGCTGCGCAGCCGGAGGAGTTTCGGCACCAGATCCTGCCTCAAAGCCCGTGCAAAATCGCGAGCATGTTGGCGATCATTATCGCTATCGGTTCGTATTGGCATTACGGGGGCCTCCAGGTGAGAATATGGCCAGCGGTTCTCCACACGAGATGTTTCATCGCTGGAGCTGCTTGGATCGTCGTCCTCGGGGCCTTCGGTGTCTCCAGAGCCATTGGAGGCCGCATCCTGTTCGTGCGGCGGCTCACCCTCGCTCTCCGATCCCGACGAGGTCTCGAAGACGTTCTGCCGGAACTCCACAATGGCATCGCGATAGGGAGCCGGCAGACGGGCCATGCTCTGATAGGTCAGTGGGCCGGAGTAGTCGGCGTCCTTGAGCAGATCATGCCGTCCGTTGACCACCTGCACGATCTGATCGCTGATCATGGACTCAGTGAGCTCTCCACTGCAAAGCACTTGCAGGCTATCCAGCAGGGCCACCATGCACTCCACGCTCGCCTGCAGGCTGGCCTCCGTGGCCGAACCAACGCCGCTTGCTCCATAGGCACACTCCTCCATGGCATCGACCAACCTACAAGAAAACACAAAATGCATTATTAACACAACAATACAAATAAATCCTTAAGGCTACTGGAAGATTCAGTGTTTGCTAAAAGTCACTGAACACGTATAAGAGCAACCCATGATATTTATTACTTGGACTCTATAATATAATGTTTAACTTCTATAACACATTAACTTACAGCCGGAATAACGCCATCTCATCGCTGCACCCCTGGGCGGTGTTTTTGTCTACATATAAGATCACCGCCAGGTCGATCAGTCGCTCCGGGCTCTTGAAAATCTCCCGTACGCATCGAAGGGGCTCTGTGCGATTTTGGGGAGCCGGCAGCAGGAGCATCCGATGGAACAGGGCCTCCAGCATGGGACGCAGTGAACCATGGGCACCGGCAATCCGAAGTAGCTGAATGGCGGTCAAATAGACACAACGGGCCTGCGGACCATCCAAACCCGGACCCGTAAAGAAGCCACGAGCCTCGTTCTCTATCATGTGCAGGGCGTCCCTGGAAGAAATATATAATAATAGTTGATTAGTTCCAAAAACCAATAGCATGTACATATAAGAATGGCTCCGATGGACTATGTGCAATGTGTTTTGAAAACCCTTATGCTGCTTTTTTTCACTTACTTGTAGGTGAACTTCTTGTCCAGGTTGATCCTGCCGGGTGATCCAAGTGCCGCCGCCAATGTTGGGCAGAACTTCTGCCAGAGAAACGAGGTGAAGTGCGGATTGGCATGGACATTTCGGGGCAGGGCCGAGCTTAACGTGAGGATGCACTCGGTTAGATACAGTGAGCTGTGGTTCTCGCACTTCTTGTTCGGCGAGGCATTCACATTGGGCTCCACCAGGCGGCTGCAGAGCCACTGCATCACGGGTATGACCTCGTTGTAGACGGCGGAGGCCTGCGTCTGTGTCATCAGGCCGGCGGGCGCTGTCTTCTTGACCTCCTCTGCCTCCTCAATGAGAAAGGCGCAGAAGGTACGCAGGCATTGGGAGGCGGCGGCCAATGACGCCGCTTTAGTGGCTCGCGAACCCATCTCCCAGCACTCGCCGCATCTGGACAGAATTTCGATGAGCAGGCGGCCGTTTAAAGTGCAGGCGGGCGAGCAGGCCATCGCCAGGAAGAGCCGTAACACATTGACCACCGTGTCCTCGCTGCTCGTCGACGGGAGGATGCCATTGGTGGCCCTCAACAGCTGCGATGGTAGCCACACGGAGTCGTCCTCCGGCTCAAGGCCGATGTAGAAGCGTTCGTCCTTGATGACGCGCTGTTGGGATTACAAAACAGGATGGCCAGGATTAGCAGAGGGTGGTTGAAAATGTAAAGAATACTAAATTGGATGACGGTAAGAAAGAGTTAGTGACTGTACCACGTATAAAGAATTAAAGGATTAAGGTGCGGTGAAATAGGATTGACTAGAACTGGAGGTCACAAAGACTAAAACTACAAAATCAAGGATATAATAAGGAAGAGGGTAGGGGCTGGTATAAAAATAACCAGGGCCAAAGGGCACACACCAAAGTGCAGGAGCAAGTCCGGAAATATTGATTACCATATTGTTAACCAGTCATAAACAAAAGTCACATCCGACCCCCGAGGATACCCAGCAATTAGCCGATTCCGCCCATTGCCCACAAATGCCCCAGTTTCTCCACATATGCATGCCATATGCCATCTGCCATGTTCCATATCCCATTTCCCATGTCCTTTGTCCAGTGTGTGCACATGGAATGATAAATCCGCTTTGTGCGCCGGAAGTTCCGGCCGGAAAATGTATGTCAGTGGTTGTTATGGCCATTGTTACCGCCCCATTTACGATTACCCCTCCCGATAATCTCCGTTTCCGGACAGTGCACTTACATGGAGGCCATTGAGTCCCATCGTGATGAACTTAGGCCGCTTTGTGTCCAGCGCCATCTGCAGGGCGGTAAAGCAAACGGAGCGCAGCTCATGCGACGGATCCCGGTGAATTCCATGCTGGCGATAGAGTTTATCTGTAGAGGGAATAAAAATAGGGTTTTTTTTATTAAATTGGGTTAAGGTAAGAACTTATATTTTAAAATAGTATTATTAAAATATTAAAATCTAATTTACATATCTACTTGATACATTTCTAATGCGTTGGATATGCTTGTTATGATTTTATAGTAATGATTCCTATGTCAATATCAAATCATCATCTGTTGTAAGTACCGTATCTAAAAATATTCTACGTATTACATTGTAATTTTTATGTTTTTCTCTTTGTTTGCAAAAAGTTACGGCCGGAATTAGTGGTAAGTCGTCGCGATTAACGGTTATCACCATGGGCACACAAGTAAGTAATGCAGGCAGTAAAATCTGTCTCGATAAGCGGGCGGATATGGATGTGGGGATGTGGGAGATTCCCACGTTCACCCTAACACAAAACGTTGCCTACTTTCCTGCACCGTTAAACGTGGAAACTTCCACTCCCACAAATTGTTGCTACTTTCCTGCAACACCAACGCAGAAAACACAAAAGCTGAAGAGTCAGAAAATCGAAAGAAGACAAAGAAACAATTCAGTTGTATGGGACTTGCAATATCCCCTAAACATAAAAATTATATATGTTTGTAAAATAACAAAAAACGAATTAATAAATAAAATAGTAATAATAATAATTGTCTATGTTTATACAAATATATGTCATTGAAGTCATTAAATTGTTTATTTACAAAAGGATTATTGATAGGATATAAGATTTGACATACCAGGAAGTTTATTTTGATTCACTAAAACTAACTAATAATTAGATTTTTAGAGAAAAATATCAATGGAAAAGTTTGGCTTGAGAAATTTTTCCGCTCACAGTAATAATAATTATTATTTAAGTGATTAAATAAGAATTAAAACTAAACAATAGACTGTTATATTAATTATACCATTGCAGGGACCCTATATAAACCTTTTTGTTGGTTAAGGGAATAAATTGCAAAAGGAAAACATATTTTTAATTTTATCACTATTATACACATATTTTCTGATGTGAATTTAATTACAGAAAATAAAAAATATATATTTGATTTAGATAGTTTTATTTATATATTGCGAAATCAACAAAACTAAAATGCCGCACTGCCAAATCGAAGGGCATTGCACAAAGGATGTAGCAACTAACGGTAAACAACAAACAGTGGCCAGGCCACAACAAAAGCAACAAACGAGAAGGGTAAGCGAGAAAGGAAGTAAGGAAATGGTACTGCTCTCATTTGCTCTCCCCCTCTCCCCCTTTCCCTTGCTTTGGCTCTTGCTCACTTTCTTCGTGCTAACGGTAAATTCACACATATTGCAAACAAGAAGGACAACTTACCGTAAGCGATTTGCGCCGTTTGTCGCAGCGCATTGTGTTTAGTTCCCGTTGACTCCTTAATAATCAGTAAAAAGAGGTCCTCCATATTGCCGCACTCTCTTTCTAACACTCTCTCTTTTTTTGCGGGCGAGTGTGTGTGTGTTGGGCAAATATTTCCTTGCTGGTGTGAGTGTGTTGTTGTTGTTGTTGCTGCTGCTTCAGGCTTCAGTTTGCTTAGCTGTTGTTGTTGCTTCACCCTTGCACGCCATCATTGGTAATAACAACAACAAGAACTCAATTAGCGCCTACAAAACGGTAGTAAAATCAATACAACAAAAATATAATAATACAGTAACAATAAAGGATGGTTGTTTAGTATGTGTATGTTGCCGCCATATGTGTTCACCCACACACACACGCACACACACGCACGAATGCCATAAACTTTGGATGTGTGATTTCGCGTCACGTCACTTTTGCACTCTACAAAAACTTTTGCTCACACACTGCAATTGTGCACCTTCGAAAAGTTCAAACAGTGTGTATCCGTTTTCCTTGAAAAACTTTTTTTTTTACTTTCACACACACACACTCAAACACAGGCGAGCAATGCAGCAGGCATTGCAACGGTACATTTTCAATTAAATCCATATGTCAAGCCATTTTTGCAGGCCCACAAGCACTTTTCACTGTGATTACTCATCGGGAATTACCATTTTTCCGGGGGAATATAACATCCATAATGCTTGGCAACGGTTAGCAGCCACCACTTGTGGTTTTTCCTGCTGTTCCTCCACAGTTTCTTCGTACTTTCCTTCTGCTTTCTCCGTGGAAAAGTGCGCTGCACTTGCCGTTGGATGCGACAAATGCTGTATGACGCGAAAGGAAAGCACTTTCTCCATTTACGGCGGAGTGCGCATGGAGTACCGTTAGTTAGGCGCATGATTGCGCATGTCTGCAAATCAGCTGTTCGATTGTACCGTTTATCGGTCAGCTGAAAATTTCAAAAAACCAGGGCGGGGTCTATAGTTTGAAAAATATAGCATTGATAACCTGAACAATCTCAATATTTCTACTCACATACAAAATTTCATATCGTTAGAAAACATATTACTTAATTTTTCTAATATTTTCCAGAAAGTATGCTATGATTAATTCTAGCTGAGAGAACGAAACCCCAAAATATTAACATAAAAATAAAGTCTTGTTTTGAGAAGCTTTATTTCACATTTCGAAACAAAACAACTACAAACTAAACTGTTAACATCTAGTTGTAAAGCTCATTTTGAATGGATTCTTTCTTTTCCAATTTCTCGTAAATTCTTATCAAATAATTCATTTAAATAAGTACCAGAAAATTGGCTGTACCCTTGAGATGTTGCTAGAAGTTTCGTTCAGCCCTGGCAATCTTTTGATTGCAGGCTTTTTTTTGTTGATTTTTCGAGAAATCAATAAACACAAGGAGTTAATCAAAAATATGATTTAAGGTAACAAAATGAACACCACCAAAAGGTTGAATTTCCAACAGACAATTCATAGCTGCCCAAATCCGCGTTAAAGAGCTCCAATTTAGGTGCATTTACACCTTTCACCTGGACCATTTTCCACAGGTGGTTTTCTTTTTCAGCTCACTCTCTCTCTCTCTCTTTCTTTCTCTCTGTGCGTTTTTAAATGCCATTAATTATATTTCGCATTGATTTAAATAGTTTAACTGACAGTGTAAAATTAGGAGAGAAATAATAATAAACAGGATTCAGTTGCGTATATCAAAAACCATTCTTTGCTCTCATGACATAGAAGACTAAAAAGTGCAAGTGCAGATTCCTATTTCGCCTACTTCACGGGCTTCGACTTCCACAGGCCGTCGTTGAGGAAGTGATACGTCTCGATGCCGATGCCCTTGTTCTTCGCCAGACTATAGAAATTGAAAGAGAAATTTGGGTTCATCTGTTATTAGGATATACAAAATCTGCAGTCGTCCTTTTTTTAAGGAACTGGACCTCTGATGCATATTAATAAAAGCTATTGAGCATTTAGGTGTAGATACACTGCCGAAAATATATCTTACTCTATTTATTCTTTAAAATCTTGAGACTTAAGATCACTTTCCTATAACCAAAAATGTTAGTGCTAGTAGCACTTGTATCTCTTTGTAATAATATTAAATGGTGTTGTAACCGTGTGTACCGCAAGTTAACTACATTAAGCTGACTTCTAAGTATCAAAATCTAAAAAAAAATACTTTTACAATGTTCTTCTTGGAGTTACAGAATAGAAAATAGGTAATAAATACTCATATAACCATTAAAAATGGCAATACATGTGTGGAGATTTAGTGATATTCACCCACATTTGGGTCAATAAAACTTTGTGTGATAAAACAGGAAAAGGAGCGTGACCTCTAACACACAATACATTATAAAAGGGGTTCTTTAAAACAAAGATGTGCAATCTGGTTCATAAAACCTAAGGTAAGTAACAACAGACTATTTATAGGCAATGGTAAGATGAACTAACAAAGATAAGAATGACCTTTACAAAAACCCTTTGCCTTTACAGAATGATAGAATGGCTTTCGGTGAAACATTACTTACATTTCCTGTGTGGATAGCGTGAGGAGTCCGATGGCCAGGGCGTGCTCCTTGCCCTCGGCCATGATGGCCACCACGGTGCTCTTGTCCGCCGGGGTCATGCAGGCGCCCGGCGAGGTCAGACCCGGACACATGACGTTCGCTCCACTGAGGACAAAGCGGATGGCTCCCTTGTCCACCTGCTGCATGGTCACGAAGTAGGGAAACTTGTGCAGGAGCCGCAGAGTGGGCATCCAGGGGCCATCGCGATGGCGGAAGAACACCTGTTCGCCGGCTCCGTTCAGCAGGAGTTCGATGTGGTCATGGCTGCGGTGGGGATGGGAGATCAATGGGGTCATATGGTATGCTATGTGCGTGTGCCGTCCTACCACTTGGCAATGCGGTACGAGTCCTTCTTGGGCAGGATCAGGTCAATGTGGCTCTCCAACTTGGGGTATGCCTCCAGCAGCTTGGCACGTATGCCCTTCTGCACCGACGACTTCAGCTGCTGGATGCTGGAAATGCTGTCCTTCTCCTCGAATCTGGCCAGAACGGAGGGCTATAGTTAGTCAGAACCCGCCAATAACCCCAATGTATACGTACTTTTTGAACATTTTGCACGATTTTCTTGCGTTTTTTTTGCAGCTGATGCGGGATGTGGGAAATAATATCAATATATCGATATTTTGCGAAACAAATAAATGCTCATATCGTCAGAGTGCTGCGACAACCCTTGAATGTATCGATATATGCATTAGGGGTATTTTTGGTTTAGCTATGACGTTATACAAGTAAATTTATTTAAATTGCAGTAACGCTTGCGTGCACAAAACAACATTTTCTTCAAATACAAATTTTCATTTATTATTGGATATATTAACGATACGATATTTTAAAAATATTTTCACATTTTGGTGTCTTTTACTTTGGACCTAAATTTAAATTGAAATGCATCCATTATCCCTAAATTTGATCAACATTTATTTTGATTGACATACGCAAATGGTATTTCATAAAAACTAAAACGGTATTTTGTGGTATTTATTTGAACATGCATTTTGTTATCGTTATCGGCGCTGCCATACTTCCCGATAGGTTCTGACAAAAACGCCTCCTAATATCGAAGAACGATAAGGCCCGATAGGTTCCGAAGATTTTTCCTTGTTTTTCCCAACATTATTAACAACAAAATAATAGCGGGCCGAATTGCGCATAATACAATTGCAGTCGCCCGCAGTTGCCAGCATTGCAAACACAGCCGGAAAATCAAGGAAGCGCAAAATTTAGGCCAAACCAAATTCGCAGTGACCGTTGAAAATCAAAACAAGTGAAAAGCCACACAAAAAAGAAGGAGAAAAACGTTAACTATGTGTAAGTTGGTAAACAAAAGGAAGAGGCCAAAGAAATCCAGTTAATTTAACTAGAGTTGTTCAATTTTCATGTGAAACGAATTTCCGGGCGACATTCTTTTGTTGTTGTTGTGATGTGCGGGTGTGAGTGAGAGAGAGAGAGAGATGGAAGTTTTGCTGACGCCCCAGCAACAAAAACAAATTAAAACCAGACGAAAGTAAAATTTCACCAAATTTTTTTTCGTTTGCCGAACTGGACAAACTTGTTTTTTGTTTTTTCTTTTTTTTTTATTGTTTGTTTAGATTGTTTTTGTGCCGGCTTTCCGCGAAAGTTTTTAAAACGGCACTTGGCCTGCCCCTCTCTCCCGCTCCTTTCTCTCCCTTTTCCTGCGCTCTTTCACTCCCCACCCGCTACTCATGTGTCTGTGCGAGTCCCGTTAAACTGGTTTTTGGCTTAATTGCATCGTCCTCTCTTTCGCACATAACGGTTTTTAATAGGTATTTCTTAACGGCTTTTAACCCGTTGGCTTCGCTTATCAGCATCACCCACACACACACACACCTGGGCAGGCACATAGATAAATAATAAACACAAAGCGCAGTAAACGGCGAAGAGTGAAAGAGATGAGAGATCCAAAGTGCATAATGGTAATGCCAATGTTAATGGCCCCGAACCGCAGCTGTTCTTTTTGTTTCTCTCACACTTTCTATCATTTAGCATTTTTGCCTTTCTGCCTTTGTGCGCCCGGCCACGCCCACATTTCGATGGGAAACCCTGGAAGTTGGCCAAGTAGGAAATAATGCAAATAATGCCCATCTTTGCCAAATTTCCTCCAGATTGCGTCACAAAGCGGTTCTAACTGAACGGAACTATGGTTTATTTTAGAAAGATTTTGGGCAATAAATACTTTTTTGATTATAATGTTACTTTCAAAAGGCGGAGCTCTACTTACTATAATTTTTCTGGATAAGTGATATTTAAAAATGATTGTATTTACTTCCAATTATCTTCACATACACATAAGTTTTGAAAGACGTTTAGGAGAAAAAGAATATTTAAACGAAAATAAATCGAATGGAATACTAATTATTTGATATGGTTATTTCACTTTCAATGGATCTATAAGATTTGTATACTTTTAACCATGTTAGGCAAAATAATAGTACTTATGGTACATGTATTAGAAGTCATTTTAATAACGTTCTGGAAAGTTTAGAGGCATTATCTTAGAACCTTGTTATCACAATCTTCTATTCAGCGATCGTGTTTTTATAACAGACGCACAGAGGCGGTTAAAAAAATAGCATTGCATGATCCCAAAGATCTTAAAGAGTTTTAAAAATGTATATCTCAGTTATGGTAAAAGATTGCACACCCAAAACATCTGTCTCTATACAAAATACAGCATTCTTGAGCAAGGCACGTAATTGCCAATTAATTTCAAACAGCTCAGCTGTTTTTGTCGCTTAAATGTTTGTTGTCGTTCTTCTTTTAAATGTTCAAGATTAAATTCCGATAAAGAAAAACTGCCTAGATTTTTTAAATGCAAAATAGACTCATATATTGGCTGTTTAAAACAAGACTGCTTTCTTTTCTTTGTCATTTTCCTTACCATTTCCAAAAGTTTCTAAATTTACGTATTGTCAAGGATCTCGCATAATGAAACATCACTAGTAGAGATCCCACAGAAAGTTATGAAGCGCTTTTTGTAGTCGCTTTAACAAAATTTTGATATCCAAATTTACTTGTTATTTGTTTTCTGTTTCGCTCTGGCATTAGCCAAAAACATTCTATTTGCCTGCACCGTCAACAAAAAATTATCGCTTTTGGTTTCTTTTCTGGGTAACCCGATCTCTATCCTCTAGTTTGGGCGGTGAGTCGGGCGGTGAAGAAGATCAAGATCAAGACCCCGAAACTGAGTCAAGATCCAAGTAGAAATCCGAATCTGAATCCAAATGCAAATCTGATCAAGATGTGGCAGCAGCAGCAGCCGGCGATATACTATTCGACCGAATCCGTTCGAGTAACTCACTCAATATCCGGCGAACGTTGCCAATCCCATTTACTTCCAGCTGACAACAACAGCGGATCCGGCGGCGGAGGAGGCGGTGGCTCCGGGAACAACAATAGTGCTAATAGCGGGAAGAACTCGACTCACAGGATCGATGAGTCGTCGCCCAGTGCCATTACCAATCGATTGCTGGGCCAATGGCGCAAGAATTTCTACAGCGAACCGAAGAATCTGCTGGCGCAGAACGTCTGCTCCCGGGTCGATCCCTTCGATGTGTGCCTTTCGAGGAAGGCACTGGAGACCACCAACCATGTGTTCAACTACAAGGTGGAGACCGAGGGCAAGCCGGTGACCAACCAAAGGAGTTCCGGCCGCTGCTGGCTGTTTGCGGCCCTCAATTGCATCCGCCTGCCATTCATGAAGAACTACAATCTGGACGAGTTCGAGTTCTCGCAGGCCTTCCTCTTCTACTGGGACAAGATCGAGCGGTGCAACTATTTCCTTAATAACATCGTGAAGACGGCGCAGCGGGGCGAGAAGGTGGACGGCCGGCTGGTGTCCTTCCTGCTACTCGATCCCACCTCCGATGGCGGCCAGTGGGACATGCTGGTCAACCTGATAACCAAACACGGCCTCATGCCAAAGAAATGCTTCCCAGAGAGCTTTAGCTGTGAGTCCAGCATACGAATGAACGCCATACTGAAGAGCAAGGTGAGGGAATCCTTCGATTATTATTTTTTAGTTCTATATAGATGTTTATGGTTTCCTTTGGTTTACCTATAATAAGTCAAAGCATACTGTCCTTCTCTTTTCCAACAAATTCTGAAGTTTCTTTGGTTGGTAAATGGAGCTCGAAGCTCGTAAAACCCGTATTTAAATGCAAGACATTGAATTTAGCTAATTAAAAGTAATATAATCTTGAATCTTTAGTTTAATATTTAATAAAAACTAAACTAACAAATGTGGTATATCTTTTGTAGCTCCGGGAGTACGCCCGTCACTTGCGCGAACTGCTAGACCAGAACCCAACGGATGAGGAGATCGCCTGTAAGATCCAGGAGCAGATGGCTGAGATCTACAAGGTGGTGGGTATCTGCCTGGGAATTCCCTCGGAGACTTTCACCTGGGAGTACTACGACAAGAGCAAGAACTACCAATCCATTGGACCAGTCAGCTCGCTGGAATTCTACGAGCGCTATGTGAAGCCGCACTTCAACGTGGAGGACAAGGTGTGCCTGGTCACCGATCCTCGGCCGACGAGTAGCTATGACCAGGCCTACACTGTCGACTGTCTGGGGAATGTGGTTGGCGGTCGTCCCGTCCTGTACAACAACCAGTCGGTGGAACTGCTCCTGGCCATGGTCACCAAGTCGCTGAAGGCCGGCGAAGCCGTTTGGTTCGGCTGCGAGGTCAGCAAGCGATTCGCCTCCAAGCAGGGCATCGAGGATGTGGACGTGTGAGTGATTTTAATGCTATTTCAAAGTCCAATCAATTTTTGTTATATTATTTTGAAGTATAATAACTTGATTATCCTTCTCTTGCAGCCACGATTTCAAGCTGGTCTTTGACATCGACATTCAAACTACATTCTCCAAGGCGGACCGTCTGATCTATGGCGAATCGGCCATGACCCATGCCATGGTTTTCACCGCCGTCTCCGTGGACGTGAGTATTACTAATAAACCCAGCAAATGCACTGGTGACCAACCATTTAATTTGCAGAAGAGTGGCGTTGCCCAGAAACTGCGGGTGGAGAACTCGTGGGGCGAGGATCGTGGCGAGAAGGGCTACCTGGTGATGAACGCCGACTGGTTCAGGGAGTTTGGCTTCGAGGTGGTGGTGGACAAGAAGTACGTGCCCGAGGATGTGCTGCGCGTGTTCGACATGGATCCTATCGTCCTCCCTGCCTGGGATCCCATGGGCACGCTGGCGCAGTAGGCCGGCATCCAAATATATATTTAAATACAATATATACAAAGCTTTACGAGCAGCAATCTTCGAGCGGCATCCAAGTGGCTCGAGTTACCAGCTTTCAGTTTTTGTGTACATTATTTTTCTCTGGCCAGTTGCCACATTTTTACGAGCTCCACCCGCACCGCCCGATCCCCGCAGGTGTATGCATATGCAATATATCAGTCCAAGTTCCCAGTCCTTGTCAATTCTGTAAAACAATCATTTTGTGTTTAGCGCCTAAGTAAAAAAAATATCTCAGTTCTATCCCAAATTACGTTTATCTTTGATTTTGCAGCGGGCAGTTGAAAATATTTACAATACAAACGAGAAATAAATGAATAATGTAAATGCATTTTTTACGTATATACAATTACATATTAAATAAATATATTGAAAACAATTTTTTTTACCTACAACTTGCATAATCAAAAAGGAACACCGGGACACTACATCCCAATATGTACATAATTTAAGGGGCCTAAATCGGGTCTCAGTTTCCCATGCGCCGCATACGCCGCTGCTCATACTCGTAGCTAAGTCGCTGCCAAATGCCCAGGCACATCCGCACCAGGCGCACATCCTTTTCGACGTTTCTCCTCGCGAAGGCATACTGCTCTCGGATCAGATGCTTAGCCGCTCGGAGCTGACCACGCTGGATCAGGGAGATGCTGAAGTACAGCTTACAGCGCGCCTGCAGGAAGGGATCTCCAAGACGCATGCCAATCTTCAGCTGCTGCAGCGAGATCTTTCCGGCCGTCTCTGCCTGAAAATGGGCTTGGTATTAGATAGAACAAGGTTTATTACAAGTTGGCAAGGAGCTGTAACTGCCTTTTGCGAGTCCATAGTGTTGGGGAACTATACTATTACAGAAAGGAACTGTCTGATACTCTGTTTAGCCAATTGGTATTGTTATCGATTGGTATTGTCAAAATATATCATTAATGTGTCCCCTCTCTCAAGTTTTCCCTTTTCAAAAGTCAAGTTAGTTAAAGTTCGATAACAAGTCGATGAAATAGAGATGGCAAAACCCCGATTTTGTCGATTAAAATTTTATGTCATGCATGTTCTGACATGCAGATCAGTCACTAGTATGAAAATAACGCATGATCATCAACTTTGAAGCTTTTTTGAAGGACTTCTGATGAATTACTGATGACTGTACTGCAGCGTATATGTTTATCTACAAAAAGGTCAGTGGATTTTACTGAAGACCACCTGGAGATTGGATTTCCCGGTAAGAGCAGACTAAGTTCCCTGGAAGACTTACGCATCGCTCGAATTGCTCGCCGAGGGCGGAAAAGCCGCCGCCCAGGGTGGAGAGCCAGGACATGAGGTGCTCCACCTCGATGTGCTCCCACAGCGTGTGTGCCAGCATGTCCGCGAACCGATAGTCGATCGTTTCCGTTTCCGGCGGCTCAAAGGAGAGCCACACCAACTGGACGCCATGCTTGCTCCTCAGGCGCTGGGCCAGCTCCTTTTGCTGAAGGAACTCTCGCAGGTAGTAATTCCCATTTATGGCGTCCACGCGGATGCTCAGCCTCCTTAAGGATTTCCTTTCCTGACAGGAGCCGCCGGCCTCCCGGCTTGGACGATTGTGGAAATGACACCGCTGCCAGTAGTCGCATACGCAAATAATCAAGGAATCAGACATCTGAATGAGAATAGGCCGATTAGTATCACGCCACATACCAACTTCCATTGTGTAACCTTTTAAAAATATAAACAAAAATAGTTAGGTAAATTCCACAGGTTTCTGGGATAAAGTTTATTTTGGGAAGCGGAAGCTACTTGTTTCAAGTGAGGATCACCACTTGGCTTCACTGCTTCGTAAACTCAAAATGGAGCATCCATCATGCAGGCGGAGCACATGTGGATCAAGTGTTAATTTGGACTTTTATTTTATCAGAAGTTATTTGCTGTTTTTGCTAAATAATGTTAATAACAAAAGTGTGCCCACGCCCAGAGCGCCAAAAAATGCCACGATCACCTGCATGTGGCAACACTGGTTGGTTTGGCGCCAAAAAACTATCGGGCTTGAATAGTTTAAATAGTTACCGCACCCTTGATTTTGAATTCATGCTGGTGAGCGCCAAAAACTATCGGTTTTGAACAATTGCTTGCTATTAATATTATTTCAAACAATAAAACACAATATTTTGATAAAAATACAGATTATTTTTGTCGCAACCGATCTTAAGTGATATCCACATTTAAAAATAGACTATTCTATTCGATCCGGAATTAGTATGACAATTGAGAATAATATCAGCTTTCATAACAAAAATTAACAAATGTTACCTCTTGAATAATGAAGTTTAAAAACCTTTTTTGTCTTAACTTGGCCTAACACTTAAATCTAACCATTTTAAAACAATATTTAGCTTGTTTATTTTGGTTGAAATGACAATATTCAAGGTTTTAAATGCCAATTAAGTTGAATGAGTAAATTCGAGTTATTTAAAAGGGTTTCTGCGCATTTAGTGGTATAAAACTATTCTTGTTTACTGTTTTTAATATTTATTAACCTCTTTTAACAGTGCGTTTAAAGTATTTTATTGATTTACAAACCTGTTATCTCTTTTTATTATAAATTATAACAATTTAACTTGCGTTCCACAACAATCGACCGTTACAATCCACACCTCGTGTAGGAGCGCGCAATTCAAATTGTAATGGCACTTGCAATCGCTGCTTAATTTCGAAAATTGTACAATTTCAGAGCCAGCTAGCTGCCCCATGTGTCAATAATTCCGCGTGGAAATGACTCAATTTCGCTGGAGTGCAACTGCATCTTTTGTGGGCCTTCAACATGGCCATTATCATTATCAAACAAATGTTTCTCCCCTCGATTTCTCAGTGCCAACAAATCTGTTAGCAGTTGGCAATAATTGTGCAGCTAGCGGCAACATTGTCCCCACACGTTTCCCCCACACCCATTCCCCCATTCATGATTTTCCCTTTTTCCATTTCCCTTTTCCCATTTTCCCTTCATTTTCGTGGCTATTTTTGGCATTTGCCTTTTATTGTTGGTGGCTATGTTGTCATCGATGGCATTAATTTCGGTAAGTGCGCCCGACTATATCCTCTCCTTCGGCTCCTTCGACTATATCCTCTTCTTCTTCCTCTTTCAACACACGATTTTTATGGCACGACATTTTTCTGAATTATGCGCTCAATTTCCGCTGAATCGAAGGAGCCCCTTACATAAATTTCCCCAATTCTTTATGCGCATTGTGTAATATTAATTGGTCACAAGCCATCAAAATATAATTTGCACCAACGAAAATGTCGTTAAATTATTTGATATTCGTATATACCCTCAAAAAGAGTACTATCATCCTTCAGATTTATTTATCTAACTAAATATATTTGTCTACCCAAGAAAACATAAAGGAACGTATATGTAAATTATAAAAAATATATAACATTAAACATTAAAATAATTTTTATAAGAAATATAGTTTGCACATAAATTTTGGTTTTTTGGAAATTTATAATTTTTAACCCGGTTTCTTATACTCAAAGCTGTCAGGATATTCAAATGTTCGATACTTAAATTTTGCATTATTTGTCGTATTTTTATGCAACTTTTATTTCATAATTTTCACGCTTCGTAAAACGGCAGCAACATTGTTGGCTGCACTTTCGAGCACGTGCGCCAGATGAAAAAAAAGTTTTGGGGGAGTCCGGAGTATTTCCATGGGGCACTGACAGATCCGCAGAGAGATTTGTTTGTGGGCGTGTCAGCAATATGTCAAAATTGCACTCGACAGTCGCGCATGCGTCCCCACAAAAGGGATAGTCCGTGTTCCCCCCTCCTCCGGCCATCCCTCATCCGCAGCCCCCTGCCCTCATCCTTGATCTCCTTTTTTCGGGGCTGGTCGGTCGTCCACTTGAAAAGGCAAAAATAATACAAATAAATGTTGTAAATAGTCGAATTTTTAATATCCTTGAAATTATATTTCTTTAGGAATCCGTTATAGGAAAATATGTAAAATACATCTAAAATAGTGGTAGTTTTGAGACCAATTATTATATTATCCTTACTGAGAAAGTTTAACATATCAAATATTTATAGCAATTTGAAATCTTTTAAGAATAATGTTGATAATTTTATTGATTTTTATATACAATGATAGGATACCAATTTATATTTAAACTTAAAATGAATTATTCTATATTATAATTATGTTATAATAATATACACCTCTATATACTTATATTTTCCTTCCTAAACTGGTCTTAGAATTCTACTGATATATATTTTTTTGAGCACCCTTCTAAGTCCTATATCCCCAAAAATATCCTATCCTTATAAAACGTAAACAAAGCCTCAAGTGTCAGCAACAACAATAACAACGGGGAAAAGGAGGAAATCTGTGGGGAAAATTCGTAGAGCAGAAAATCGAAGGCAACAACATAAACACGGTTTCACTTTCAAAGCGATTAGCCACGGATGCGCCCCGAACTTGTGCCGAAAATCCAGAAACGACAACAAACACACAGGGTCGATAGGAAAAACAGTTTCAGTTTGCTGTCCCTGTCCACAGAGAAAAATTCTATCAAATAATTGAAATATTTATTAAAAATACTCCTGTTTTTATGAAGCTGATGTTACTTCATTTACCACATTTTATAAGACTTTACTGAATTCTGTTAAAAATTTAAGCAATAAATTATCATATTATACAGTTTTAAATAAAACCCCTTTAATAAACACCAAAAATCATTGAGTTTTAAAGAACAAGTAGCCTTGCTTAAAATTAAAATAAATTTGTTAGGCTTGGTTTTTATATTTTCTAGTTGAAGAATTCTAAAAAAAATTATTTACGAATGAAAACTCTTTTTGTTTATTAAAACTATATTGTATAGTTTTTTAGAGTGCGTCTCTTGTCTCTAAAAAAAGTGAGCAATTCGACACCATGCGAGTGATTGAAACGACAGGCGACAGCCTACACACCTACAGCAAACGACACAGATGTGTGTGTGTGTCGCGGGCGAGTGTGTGTGTGCCTAGAGTGGACCCACCACAGCGCCGGGCGACAATAAATATTCAAAATATTCACTTTACAGTGGCAGCAAACCGATCCCCGGCGAACATATTTCATGCCATTTCAAGTGGCCACTGGCCCGCATCCCCACCCTAATTTTATCGGGCCACCCCATCCATTAGCCATTATCACCACATAATGATAGCACTGTACATAAGTCGCATCGGTGATATTGTACGTCATATACCACTTATCGGCCCACAAAAAGTGTCGGGGCGATAGTGAAAAATACTATGAAAGAATCCACTTGATTTTGCAGTAGAATTCAATGGATTGGCTTTGTGTAGGGTTTTAGGTGACACCTTATAGAGCATGTCATTCCTGCCTTTCGGAACCCCAACATTCCATCGGTTATCCATATTAGTCAGTGATGAGCCTATTTCTTACTCATTTCCTTGTAACACGCACTTGTCAATCGATGCCTTAAAATGAATCACTAAAAGGCAAGTGAATCATTATTAGAGGAAAGTGAGTTTCCTTTGCCACACGCTTTATATAAAATAATTTAATTGTCTAAATTCTTCTAAACATATTTTACCCCGTTAGTAGCTATATGATATAGTAGCCCGATCGTCAAGAATTTTAACTACGATACATAAAAAATACCATTTGCAAAGTTTCTTGTCAATAGTTATTATATTTTTCTCAAAACCATGATTACTTTTCATGTTATTCATAATAATAAAATAGTCATTCTTATGGGACTTTAAGGATATAGATATATGCTTACATATATCACTCGCTTAATAATGCTTTATAGGGTCGGAAATGTCACCCTCTCCACAAATCCCAACCAAAATTTCAATAACTTCCGCTTGGGTATAAGAATAATAACCATGTTTTTATTAAATGAATCATATAAAATTAAAACCTTAGCTGAAACGTAAAAATATATTTAGCTTTTCTTAACTCTCAATAACATACCCACATAAATAACAAAAATTAAAAAAAATTAGATACATATAACATGTTAAGAATGGATTGTTGACCTATTAAAAAACCGTTTATACTGATATTTTTATGTAAACATGTCTTGTTTAAGCGAGTGAACGTTTTTCCAAAAGTCCTGATCATCTATTCAAGAGAACAGTTAAAATAATGTTCATTATTAAGCATCCCAAAATAAATTATGATGTATTATCTTGAGCTTTCAAAAAATGTAGATCACTTAAATCAATCATATTTCCTTCTCTGGACAACCAAAAAGTATATATAGTAGAGTACCTATAGAGGTAATCGGATGGAACGATCAGCGGGCCATGGGCATGCGACACATGGCCGTCTTATCATTAGTAACGTCTCTCGCCTGACGTTTAACCTGCACAGAGAACTCAAAACTCAATTTCACACGCCCAAACATAATACCCCAAAACTGTGACAAGCCATCAAATGCGACATTCATTAGTCACACGGAAATGGTGACACGATGGGAGGTTTTTAGATTAATTGTATGGCATATTGAACTTTGGCCAGCCGCCACTCGAGTAACGAAACTATATAAATTAGACGGTAGGTAATTCCCTAAAGGGCCGCATCTTCAAAGAGCTGCATGTGTATGTCTAAAATTTAATAACGCCATATATATTCCATATCTTCTGGCACAGCTCCTACGAGAGGACCCATAAATAAGAACAAATTGGCATGCAATTCGCCTTAGAGCAGCGACCAAGTAGAACATAAATTTCTCATCACTTGCATAAAAATTTCACAAAAACAACGCCCAAGAACAAACAGATGTGTCGCCGACGGATTGGGGGTCGGGGGATATGGCTATGATATGGTACTATATGGGGCGAGAGGTATTGGTGCATTTAGTGTGGGAGGGGAGCAAATCTTACGGAGAGGAATTCGTACGCCCGGGAAAAACTTGCTGATAAGTCCCAGAGTATATATGAACTTTAGATAAGGTAGTTCGGTTTGAGACAATGCGGACTTTATATAATTTTTCTAATATTTTATTCTTAAAAGTAGTATTATATAGAAATATGCATTATTAAGGTTTCAGTCTTCACGCAGTTTATATGATAAAGTAATAGATATTTATGTTCTTTATTATATTATTTATTATTCCTTTTTTCATTATGTATACATATATTTATTATGAATCAGTTTTACTGACCAAGGTTATTTTTATATTTATATTACATTTTGCCAGTTGCTAGGCAGAAAATAAAACAAACATCAAGCGCAATGGTTCTTTAATCAAAAAGTTTATGCAGCTAATAAAAATACTGAGATATTTATTCGAGCAAATGAAAAATAAAAAATCAAAAGATCAAGATACCCATAAAAATGCCTAATTATTTGATTGGCGTTTTATCTATACCCCTAAATTATTGCACATGATAGCGTATAACCACCTCAATCCTTCTTTTGGCATTTAAATCCATTCTGAATCGATCGATGGCCTGCCCATTCTATAAAATATATACTATATATACATATTTTAAAACCGAAATCGATATTCCATTTGCCTTGTCAATCGTCGAGGAAAAAACTTATCAGAGTATGGAAAACCCATTTTGAGGGTCGATGGACGCGCAATGATAACAAAGAAAAGTCGCTGGGAAATCAAAGAAGAGGAAAATGGAAGATACGATTTTATGGCTTCCTTTGTGGATCTTTCTATCTCTTTCCTTGGACCCCGATCGTCTAGCACTCCTCCTTCTCCTTCTTCCTGAAACATTACTCCATAAACTCTCTCCAGTTTCGAAATCCAAATTTTCGGGGTCTATAATCTTCTCAGATTGTCTTCCTTCCTTTTCTACTGAAGTTTTTTCATGTCTTAAGATTTTCACAGATTTAGTCTATAAACAATCGTTCTACTGATAACGTTTTTAATCTAGCAATTTGTTTTGTATATCCTTTTTTAAATTATATATTAATATTATTTATGGATTTGTATTCCATTTATGGGTTTTTTTTGGGTATATATCTTGGATATCTTAATCAATTTCAGGATTTCGCCTGCTACAAATGTATATATATTTTTGGATTCACAACTCCTACTTTTCCGCAGCCCCCACTCTGCATTTTCCCCTGTTTTCACAGCAATTTCCCCATTTTTCAACGCATTTTCCAGCCTTTTTTTCCTTGCTGCTCTTTCGTTGGCTTATCTCAATTAAAACAACGGCACATTTTGTTTAGAAAGAGACGGGACACTTAACAAAAAACGTTCGCCCAAGAGAGATGGAGATAAAGTGCTATATAGCATAAACAAAATGGTAAATGGAAAATCGTTTTTCCCCCGTGGCATTTCCATTTCCCAATTGACTTCGTCCATTTTGAAATGAAATTCCGTTTTTTTTTGTTAATTTACGTTTTTGGGTTTAAGTTTTCTTTTAATTTTCCTTGTTTTTATTACTTGAAACTGTTTCAGTTTTTATATATAGCGAGATATGTGTATTTTGTATTTACATAGAAAAAACAAAGTAACTAAAATGTTAAGAAAAAAAAGGTACATTAAAATTACACTACAAATAACATCAAATATGTTTTATGGTTTTGTTTCACACGAATCGATAAAGTTAAGAACTATACTACAAAAAAAAAACGATATTTATTTTGGTAATTTTTTTGTAGAAATACTTGTAATACTTGTTGCTTTTATATTTGGCTGCTAATACTTGACTCCTGCACTGACCAAATAATAGAATTCTAAAATCAAGAACGAAATCTCTTAAAGGAGAGTATTGGTTTCCAGGTTTCCTTAAAATGTATATGATCCGATCTGAATTTTACGTTAAGGAATATATTCTTTACTAAACAACGATTTTTGACTATATATTTTCTAAGTTTAAAAAAAATTTATAATTAGCATAGTCAATTAAAAGATATTTTGTGATATTAAAACAATTAACATATATGACTTGTTTCGGACATGCGTTCTGTATTATTAAACGATTTTTGACCTCAGCATCAGAACTTTATATATCTAACTTTTAAATAATTTAAGAATTTAACTTAATGTTTTGACTGTTGCAGGAATATTATTTATTTTAAATTGATGTAGTATTCTTATTTAAGTTAAAAAAAAATATTTAAAAAACTGTTTTTAAAAATCTTTAGTTTAAAAGATAAGATTTTCCTTAAAATATTTTTAATTTAAAATAATTTTTAAGTACCTAAATTTCCGGATAAAAATTCTTGATTTTAGAAATATATTTTGGCTTCAGAAAGTTTTGGCAGGAATATTTTGTGCTTTTAAATATTGACGAAGTAATCTTAATGTAGAGTATTAAATAATTTTTACAGGCAAGTTTAAGGTTATTTCTTAGAATATTTAAGTTGAAATCGCTAGGGGACTTATGAACCCGATTTCTAGCGTTTATAGATTCACCCCAGATCCTCTTTAGCGTGGCACGAGGTCTATATAGCTATTGGGCCGCATCATCTGGTGGTGGGCCGCCGAACCATAGAAACTTGGATAGGTGGCGCCCATGCCGTAGGCGGCAGCGGCCGCGTGACGCGACACCTTCAGCTTGTCGTAGGCGCTGGCATATGGGCCGTGGGCGTGGCTGTGGGCGTGTCCGTGGGCATGGGCGTGGCCATGGTGATAGTGGGCGGCAGCGGCAGCAGCCGCATTATGATGGTAAATGGCGCCAAAGTTGCTCTGTTCCTGGGCATAGGGCTGCCCAATGCTCGAGTAAATATTGGCGGCGGCCATCACTTGTGTTGCTCCCGTGCCTGCTGATGTTGCTCCTGTGCCGGCTGCCGTTGCCGATGCACTTGCTCCCGCGGCAGTTGCTGGCGGAGATGCGGAACTGGTCGAGTGGGGGGTGAGGGGATGCGGCTGGGGCTGTGCCTGATAGGCATGGTGATAGTTTCCGTAATGGGTCTGATTTTGGCTCTGTTGGAGCAGCGATTGCTGCTGGTTGGCCTGATGTTGCTGGTGGAGATGTGTCTGCTGGGGCTGGTGTTGCTGCTGCTGGTGTTGCTGTTGCTGCTGCTGCTGCTGTTGCAGTTGCTGTTCCATCTGGTAGCCCAGCAGATCGGGCGAATTGCCGGAGGTGGAGCTGCTGGAGGGCGTGGCCGGCAGTTGCAGGACTCCCTGTTGCTGCTGTTGCTGCTCCACGCCCAAGTCGCTGCAACTCAGGCTGAAGTTGCTAGTTGCCGCCGTTCGCTCCTTGAGTTGCAGCTGCTGTTGTTGCTGCTGCTGCTGCTGCAGTTGCTGTTGCTGCTGCTGTTGCTTCATGCGAGCCTGACTTTCGTGACTCATGGAGGACATGCTGCTGCCACCGCCAGAGGTTCTGTAAATGCAAAGAAATTGAATTTTAAAATAATATTAAAAAAATATATTTATTAAAAAAATATTATTATTTACTAGATGAAATGTTTTTAAGGCATTATTTATTTTGCAATACCCATCTACATGTCAAAAATCGTGTCTATTGCTTTTTAAAGTACTGAACAATCATCAAATCTAGAAGGAGTTGCATCGTCAATAGTGTCACTTCCCACCACTAGGTGGCGTTCTACAGAAGAAAGGGTATTTGATATCAAAGGCTATCTTCTTTCTTCTTGTTTAATGTAATACATTTATAAGGTTTGTGTTATAAATGTTATACCTAATCATATATATCATATTAAAAAAAAATTTGATCATTAAAAATCAAAAGCTCAACAAATATGTAGGAAAAAAAGAATTTTACCATCAAATCTACCAACTTTTCTAACTTAAAACTTGAAAGACCAATTATAAAACTAAGTGAAAAAGAATGTTTCAGAAAAAATATTATAAATATTTGTTTTCAAAATTGTATAGAACCAGACCTAAAAGCCCCAGCCAAACATTCGGCAAATGCTTGAAAGTTTGTAACAAAGACTCAAAATTATTTGAAGTATTCCCTGTAATAAACAACTCTAAGCATAGTCGTAAACAAAATTGAGAATCGCGGACTGCTGATTTGTTTACACTATGCTACGAGCTCGAGGCCTGCAGTTCGACAAATATGAAAAGCCCCCGAAAAATGTTTATGCCGTCGGCGCATCTGTCAGCCGTCCCATCAGCATCATCATCAGTCCCATTCCCGCTCGACATCTTCGGCTTCTGTTCCACATTTTGAAGTTCTTTTGTTTTTGAGTTATTGTTTCGGTTTTTCAAGATTTTTCGATATTTTCCGGGAATGTCTCTGGCCGTCGACCGAATGTCTAGTTCCACTTGGATTTTGGGATTTCAAGTTTTTTTGTGTTCTAGGGAATGGGTAACCCAAAAAGTTTGGATGGCAGCTGAAGTGTTAGAACTGTATGGTAAAAAAGTAGGCCAATTTTCAAATCACTTATTGTTCTTAGAACTTTTTTATATTAAATGTCATATAATAATATTTAAAAATGGCTTTACTTAAAGATATCTATGATTTTTAGTGGATGTTGTTATTAAAAATATTTTGGTTGGAATTTACCACAAAAAGCAAAGTAATATATGCATTGATTCATATAGAACATATTGAAACACATGTTTTCGGATCTTGTTTCACAATGATAGACAACGGAAACTTTTTGGACGTAAGATTCCTTTGGCACATTTTCTCTGACAAATGATTTACCATTAAAATTTGCACAAAAATATAGTCGGCTGTGTGCAAATTGATTTCATTTTCATAGAGAATATACTATATTTCAGTGAACAAATGTTGAGCAATTTGTTTCGCAATCTAAACAGAAATAGGCTAAGAATATGTCAGGAAATATTAAGTAAAAATTTCAATGTATTCCACTTACACATCATTGGTGCCATCATCCCGAAAGCCTTTGGCGAATGGATTGCTGGAGATCTTCAGCTGTGTCACCTGCAAGAGAATCACAAGAAAATCGAAAAATATTTTTATTGGACTGGAAAAGCATGGGAAGAATGTCGAAAATCAAAACAAATAAATTAAATACCCAACAAATTAGAGAGAAATGTTTACAACTGGAATTCCACTGGCAGCGGCAAGACGGGGAAATGATTTGCAATAAATTTGAGGGCGGGTGGAAAAAGTGTTAACACCCACATTGAGCACATAAATAATTTAAATACTTTGCGAGCATGTCTACGCTGTATTTATAGCCAATGTACCCGAACCCCCGGCCCCAAAATTCCCCGTTCCTCCGGCCAGAATTATGAATTATACCCGAGACAAATATGAGAAAGCGCATAGAAACACCTCGAGTTGCCTCGGTTCGTCGTCCAACTTGAGTACAAAAACTTGAGATAAGATATAGGGGTTCTGGGGTCCTCGAGGTTCGGGTTACTTTTAAAGCTGATACCAAACCCCCATTTCAAGGGCTTGTCAGTAGTGCAAAAATAAGTGGGAAATCATGTTTGCTTTGTCCTAGGCAACGGTCACCATAGAAGTATTTATTCCATATCGTATTGCCCACCTGATTTTTACCCTTTTATGATGCACTTTCTTAGAAAAATGCATTCCATCAAATTACAAAAAAATCTTATTAAAGAACTCATTCATTGTAAATTGTAGTTGTAATTTTTTTACATTTTACAAATTTACTTTTTATAACTTTATTGATAGGAAGTCTAAAATTCTTCTGCCTTTAAAACCCATATTCTAATGCTATTTATTAAAAAATAGAAAGCCCAAAAAATTTAGCAGATATATCATAAAATTATCTATTAAGGTTTTACCATTTTTTTCGTTATTAAAATCTTAAGAAGTTTTCAGGGATTAGAGTATCTTCTAGGTCGATGCTTAAATCTTCTGGATAGGCATACGTTTTTGTTATATATAATCAAATATATTTGTGCTGCTTTTGTGCCTCGCAATGGATGGGGTCGCGGCACCGGGTTCCGAGCTTTGGCCGCTGTTTGTTATAAATTATGGGAAAAACATAAACAATAAGGCCGAAATGGCACAAAATGGTCGCGGCCTCTTGTTCGGTATGCCAAGGGAAAATAAAGAGGGTAAAAAATGCGGTGGGGAATTGCATTGGGCAATTAGTGAGGCGGGAATTCGCGTTAAATATAAACGCATTTAACAAAAAAATGTTGTAAACACTTGTTTTTAAGCAGAGAAATTAAAAACCATCAATATTAAAAACCAATTTCAAACTTTGTAAGAGAATAGCACTCCACAGAATATTTTAAAAGGTTCTTTTGCATAACTAATTTACCAATTAAAATAAAATAAATATTTTCTTTAAATAATAATTACCCGCTGATTCTGGTAGGCAGTCACGGCCGTAAAGCTCGTCTCTGGAAAGATGAAAGTGCGGAAGTGACGGGAGTGATCGTTCTCATCCAAGGACGCATTCTTCGGTGGCAAGTACACCAAATGGAATCTTGGTTGATAGCGATGCATTGAGTTCAGAATGATCTGTAAAATAAATAATACAAAATGTGAAATCCAGGCATTAAAGGCACACTCAAAATCAATTTGACTAATGAAAACAAGGGAAAGCAAACAAACAGCACTTGGATAGTAAATAAACAAATGACGTGTCAAAAAAGGCTTATCCATGACAAAAATGAATAATTATTTTAATATTTAAAATAATAAAACTTGAAAAACTATATATTTAACTGATATTTTGATGACTTACATGACCATTTTCGTCCAGCTGGTTATTGGTGAGCTTCAGCTTGTCGAAGGAAACGATCTGCTTCATCCAATTGGAACCGGCGGCAGGTGAGTCTGGATGCACATGGATCCTGGGCGGGGAGATGGGATCCGCCTTGCCAGCCACCACCCAGCAGGAGCTAAATTATAATAAATACATATTTATTTAATTTATTTCATAAGAAAAATTATCTAAGATAGGTAAAATATCTTTAACATTTTAAAATATTAAATTTTTCTACAGTTTATATTTTGATTTCAGATCAAAATGATTAAATTTCGTTAAATATCTCATACATTTTAAAATACTACATTTTTTATAGTTTATATTTTGTTTTCAGGTAAAAATGGTATAATACCACACACAACTTTAAATATTACATTTTTAAAATATAAAAAAAGAATATTCATTTCCATTTCCGATAACCCTTAATGACTTATTAGCAAAAATATTCAAAATTATTTCAAAATGGAACATTTTTAAATATAAAATTTCTTAAGGATCTAAAGAATTCACTCACTTGTGGAAGGCGTAGCGATAACGCTTGTCATCCACGGGCACGAAATCGAGCATACAGATGTAGGTGGCGTGCGGATCAAGGCCGCCGATCCTCACCTGGAAGGTGGGAAACATCCGACGGCCCGTCTTGGTGATGATCATCTCGGTGCCCTGGGCGTGGAACTGATCCCACAGCGCCTTCGTTTCCAGCACCACGATGGCCTGGGCGAGCGATGGATGCACTGGCTCCGATTCCTGGATTACAATATATAATGTAATATAATATATAATCAAAAATATTCTTAAGTCAACATAAGAAATAAAATGTTTACATTTTCCATTAGTTAAAAGAAAAGATAATTTTAAATTCTAAAATATTTCCCTTCACTTACCCCTTTGCTGATGTTATTAGTGTTGGCTTTCACTGTATTATTGTCCGCACTGTTGTCTTTTTTGTGTTGCCCCTTGAACTTCTTGGATCCTGTGGATGCACTTCCTCCGCCCGCTGCCGTCGATGTGGCTGCCGTGCCGGCGGATGTTCCTGCCGTCGAGGCTTCACTGTTGCCGACGGGATAATCAGAGGGCAGGAGGGACGAGGACTGCTCCTGGCAACTGGGATTGGAGATGGGATTGCCGCTGGAGAGGCTGCTGCTGCTGCTGTTCGCGGTGCCAGTGCTGCCCGTACTGTGCGTCTCGATGTCGGCCAACTTGGCATCGATCTGCTCCAGCGGCTTGTACGAACGATCCTTGCCAGCTGTTTGGATGCAGGCTGAAATTAGGGGACACACTTGGGTCAACTTTGGGGACAACAATCAAGAGGAACTTAACTAGCAGTGGTGCTTAAAGACTCTAGACGTCACATAAAAATAATCAAAATATCGATAATAGTAATAATTTTGTATCTTAAAACATTACGAAAGTGTAAATTAATATTATTTTATCTATGCATAAATCATAAAGAAATCGAAAATTTGTACATGTATAAAAAAAACTACGAATTACAAATAGATTTCGATAAAATAATTAACTTTTACAGAAAATAATGCTAAGATGGCTTGAAAATGTATAATTCAGTTTGTATTTTTAGAGTTAAAAGTTGGGAAACTAAATGTACAAAAAATTATAATGCATTATTAAAAAAGTAAAAATCATTAACAGTTGAATCTAAAGCTATTGAATTTGTATGCCTTTCCAGTTCCTTAATCGTTAGTCTTCAGACGTGTTATTAAAAAAGCAGCAGGGCATATCAAAGCTTTAATACACTTGCAGATTTTACGAAATAAAATGCTATTTTTAAATTCAATAGAGAACACTATAGTCAAGTGTCTTCAAAACTCTGGGTGCCACAAGCTTTTGTAATTTATGGACGTGCCACATCAGGATTGCTCTGCGCAGGAACCCCTAGAATCAGTATGCTTTATCCCAAATTTCTAGCATTACAGTTTCCAATATCAATATCACAGAGTTAGCACGGACAGACGGACACGGAATATACACTGCGCAAAATGTATTCAAAAACAGCATAGTTTTTGAAGTAAGATCATTATCTAAATATTTCATTTTCATCTATATGATATGGACGTCCGTTCAAAAGCGCTCTAATAGTTGGTCTGCTTGCACATATTTTATAACGATTGGGAAAGATTGTAATTCATAGCTTTAAATCTGAGCTCAACTAATTTAGAAATGCTGCTTAGGACTGTTTATACTTTATAGAGTCGAAAAGTTTTAGTCTATTCACTGTACAACAAAATTCTGATACAAATTTTAAGGGCATAATGAATAATATTATTTCGTATCAATAAGTAATAGGGCTACTCGTTGTTTTATTTTGATTTTTAGATATATAAAAAAAAATTTAAATAAATTTCGAGTACCTAAACAATTGTATGCAGTTTCCCGAAATCAAATAAAATATCACCCTGGCTGAGAATTTAGTTAACTCATCTGTGTGCCGAACCAAAGTGGCCCGAGCGAATAAATAAATAAAGAGCTCAATTCAACCTACTTTTCCAGATTCTTGACAAATGGGCGGAAAATATGCACCTATAAATCAAACACATCCCGCATATATGTATATTGTGAACCAAGTGAATGGGTTTATATATAGATGCTGGGATTTGCTAATTTCATATTTAATGTGATTTATGCGATTTAAAGTGGAAGTCAGGGAAACTCGGAGGCGCCACGCAGGCGCAGAGTCCCGAGTCCCGATTAAAGAGCCCCTTAGTACAGAACTTAATATCTCTCCTCCGCGAACTATGTATAATGAAACGACTTTCGAGTTTCGGGCAAATGGGACAACATGTCCAATTATAAAAAGGCGTCAGAGCAGCGGCTGCTGATTGAGTTGCCCGCTCTAAATTTAGGATCTCCCCTTTTGGGGGATGCCGCTGCCGGATTTTCAAGCGGATTTTCTGCAATTAATTGTCACCATCTCCCGTCGGAGTTGCGGGAATTGCCATTGCCAATGACCCATGACAGGTCGCCTTTTTATCGGCTACATGAGACGCTCTGTTTTTTTCGGCATTTTCCGCTGCACGAATGAATTCTAAAATCAATTAACGTTTGGCACAACAAATCGTTTTTCTGTCACACCATCACAACATCAAACAACAACAAAAACGGAGAAATGCCACTTGAGAAACGAGAGTCAAGAGTTGAGAAACGAGAAACGAGAATCGAGAATCTCGGATCCGGGAATTCGGAGCTAATTGCTGGGGTTTTCTGGTCTTCTAGTTATTTCTGCCGACGCTGCCATGGTCCGTGTATTTTGCTAATTACTGTATCGGAAACGGATTTTCTTTCAGTTTTTTGGGTCACTTGTAGACCAAACAAATGGTATGAAATTTATTTAGCCACTTCTTGAATTCCTTAGGAACATTTGCCACTTAATCATTCTTTGTCTCTTGTTATATGTTTTTTTTCTATGACAAGTACTTTAAAATATTTGGAACAATGAAAATACGGAATACGCAAAAATAAAAATCAAAACTATATTTTTGAACCTTTAATGTAGTTTATAAATATGTCAATTCTTATTTAAAGATTTTTAAAGTATCAGAAATATAAAGGTGTTAATATGAAAAATAATATTAAATATATAAAAATGAAAACTAAAAGGACCGGTTTCTCTTTCTTATAGCTAACATACTTTTTGTTTAACAACAGTATGAGAATACGGTTATAATTAAAAGATTTAAAAAAACATAATGAGCAATAGAGGGGTACAGTACACTTCATAACCTTTTATACAATTTTATTGTATAAAACTATACGAATTTAAGATTTGATCAAAAGTTTTCTGATAACATAATAATGTCAAATAAAAATAGGATATTCCTAGAAAATCATTAAAATATTATTCTTTCTTATTTCTCATCTAATAAGCTACCTAGCCTAAACTTTGTTTAACAATTCAATTTAGAAAACTTTAATTCAAATACAATTGGTAATGCCTATTATACGTCAAATCGAAATAAGAAAGTAAATAATGTATTGCACAAGATTATAGTTAAAGTGAAGTTAAAGTTAGAAATTAGAAAGAGCAAATTGGGTAAATAGTAAATAAAATGCAACATGAAAACTCAAAAGTTCTAATAAGAATGCAGATATTTTATATACATTTAAAAATAAATTACTGCTACTTAAACAATGCATATACATTTTTTAGATTTTACTAAAACTTAAGCAAATCTAAAGCATTTTCCTAACATAAGTTTTGAAGTTCGCACAATATTATAAGGATATTCCTATCCTATCCTAAGTGGTCATACCTTATACATGTTAATATTTTTATATATATCAACATTTTTTTAGTAAATACAAACTTATAACATTTTGTTTCTTTCATAAAGTTAATCATGTTTTCCAGATCTACTCAAACATATTATATATATCAATTAAATTTGAAAGAAAACCTCTAAATCTAATGATATTATAAGGACTAAGGTAAGTAGGTCTATTTTATAAATATCTATTTTCGTTTATTGTTTATAAATATAAAAATAATGGTCTTAGTAAATACAAGTATGGAATATTCCCTAAATAAAGTGTCAGATGTTTTCGATTTTTAAGAAATCAACAAAATTTGGGAGGAAGCCCCCGAAAAAGCTACTTGGAACACAAGATCCCCTCCAGCCGAAGGACGCCCGACTCACCTTCGATCTGCTTCATGGGACTGAGCCCGCCGGTCATGTAGGGCGAGGTCCAGTAGTCGTTGGCATAGCAGTTGTAGTCCGGCAGGCTGGTGTCCAGGAACTGCATCGAGGTGGTCATCATGGCGCTGGCGCACTCCGTGGGCCCCATCAAGTGCGTCATCGCGGATCGGAACGGCTGGATTTATATGTGGGGTATATGTGTATGGCTGGGGCTCACAGTAAAAAAAAGGAAATCGCACTGAATTCTTGGCCCATTTATTCCGATTTGATTTGTTTTGCGCTGCGGTGTTTTGATCTCAAACGTTTTTCGCGCAGTTGTCAAATTTGATTATTGCACCCACACAATCTCACTCACTCACTCACTGTGCACTGCAAAAAAAAGCGCTCTATCCTCGATGGATGGGTGTGAAAAATCACCGCAACCTTTAGCAGTTGTCAATCAGAAACGAGCGATCGAGATCGAATTCGAAAGAGGAAAATCAATTCCTTTTTTTTTCTTGGCTCGAATGTTTTTATGGCCCGATCGCGTTGACTGGCGAAAATTTGCTCTTCTATTTTTTTTTGTTTTTGGCTGATTGATTGACTTGAACTTCTTTTATTTGTTTTCTTTTTCTATTTCGCCTGGCAGAAAGCGTTGAGTTGTCTCAATTGCCACCTTCTTCCGGCCAAGTGCGAACTGATTATCCGTATATGTATGCCGCGTCCACCGCACTGATTTGATCTGATCTGATCTGATCCGATCTCTGATCACGCACACATCCGTTCCGTAAAGCGCTGGTCCGCCGAATGAGAGTTCCCGTTTCGTTTCGTTTCGGGGCAGCCGCACCGTACCACTGCCTCTCGAGATCTTGGGCACATCATCTGCATCTCCCCATTTCCGTCCGCCAATCGCCGCCAGCAGCATCCAAATTTAGACTCGGTCCCCGAACCGATCGATCCACCAATGGCTGAGCCGTCTCCTCCTTCGCTGGGAATGGGTCGACATATGTTGGCTCTTCTGAGATCGTATAGTACTTTAAGATATAGCCAAGGAATATGCCGGGTGGAACCGAGCGTAGGGTGCGAAATAGGCATTTACCAGATGTGCATACAGTGAGGCTACAGTTTTGGAAGACCTTAAGATCAGATCCTTAGGGCGTTTCGAGTAGAAGATTTGAATTTCATCAGGGAAAAATACAAGATCTGTTATAAAGGTTGCAATCTTACTAGGTATTTGTCCTTATAAACTTATAAGTAGGTTATTCGGACTTATAAAGTGGAAACACAAGCACATTTTTTATTTTATTTAGCTATTGACATTTACTACAAGGCTTAGTATTACCTTTGATCAAAAAAACTATGAAACAATATGTTATATCCACAAAAATGTATGGATTTAGTTATATTTTAACGCTAAGAAAATTAAAATATAAACGAAAAAAATTTAACAGAGTGGTTAGATCTGTGTATTTATAAAAACTTTTTGAAAACTCGTCTTAAAATAAGGTACCCTAGAGGTATGTTTTCTTTTATAATATTGAACTTACACATCATACTTAAAGAGTCTTAATACTTAGACAGAGTCTCTAAACGCGTTTTTCCTAGCAAACAAAATTAATAATTTATAAACTTGAAGAATATTACTAGTAAAAATACAATGTTTTGAATTTAAAAATCATCATCACATATTTTAGTTCATATAAAAATATTTGTCTACAAAAACAGGATAGAGACTTCTCATAAAACACATTTTTATATTCTTAAAAATTAAGCAACTTTTATGTTGGCTTTTATTTTTAAAGTCAATTATTTTGTCTGATTTCCTATTAAGTAAGGATCACTGTAGCCCCTACTCGCATCTCCTTTCCCTGATCTCAGTTTTTTCAATAGCTCTCTCTTTCTCTCGTTTTTGGTGGGGCGTGGCCTTTGGCCATGGGGCAGGAGGCGGAGGTCGAGGGGGTGGTGATCCCCGCACTTGGACTTTGTTTACTTCTTGCAGGGGGCGGTGGGCAGTGGGCGTGCCCGCCGAGTGGGTGGCTGACCTGAGTCATGCGCCCCATTTGGAAAACGCTTTTAATTGGACTGCGGCCACACGGCGGTGCTCATGGTTTCCGTGGTTGCCGTGGTTGCCGTGGTGCTCATGCTGCAGTGCAGCCGATGGTGGTGCTGCCAGTGGCCATAAATACAAATTGCGCCATAACCTCGACACTAAATAAACCGTAAAGAGGAAAACGGAATTTTAAGACAGTGGAAAGGCACACGGAGAAAAATATAATATGAATTCATAAATATTCAATTGCATCACCTTATTTTGAAAATACTAGGCGTACGTATGTACATATTTGAACACATTGCAGTCATTTTGGTCAAAATTAGTCGAATTTGGTAAAATATATTTTCGATGCCTAGAAACTCGCCTGCTGATATCATCGCCAAAAAATCTATCTATTTTGAATTTCAATACAGTTTGAACATTTGTATCTATACATTTTTATTTTGAATATAAACAGGTTCTCATATTTCAAAATACAAAGTTGGTATTGATTTCATAATTATTATAACTATATTATATATATATATATATTATTAAACATTACAATTTGAATTTATATTTTTTTTTAGTTTTTTTTTAAACACACCAGATGATATTACAAATATAAGTAACGGAAGGATAATGGAAAAGGTGCTAAGGTACTTTAGAGTACATTAAACGCATGTTTCACGCGGTAGTTAATTATCCACAATTAAAGGGGTTTTTGTATATTACATTAAATATAGAGGTTAGCTTCGATCATAACAACTTTGAATGATTTGTTTCCAAGATTTAATTTCTCATTAGCTATAATTTCCCTCAGTGCAGGTGTACGAGTAACGCGGAAAACTGAGGCCCAACAAGAGAGAGCAGGAGAGAAGACGTGGTAGAGCCCCCCAAAAAAAAATGGCGTCTGTTGGCCATTAGACCGCGGGATCTTCTGGGCCCTGTAAAGATCCGGGGATCCCGAAAAACTGGACCGATCAAAGTGAACACCCCCGATTAGCCGGGGGCGTCTGCTTTCCATCAGCCACGGGCATTCAATTAGCGGTACCTGGTATCTGGTACCTGGCCGGGTCTCCACCCAAAGCGATTTGTTTACCTTCCTCCCATATAAATCTACGCATCCAGTTGCGCCCAGGATTTATCCATTATCCATTTACGGAACTGCTTGTTATTGTTTTTCCTTGATTTTCGTTCGTGTTTCGTTTGCCGCTCTGTTTACAATTATTTTGAGTTAAGTGGTTTCTTTCTCCAGTTTTTCGTTTATTTTTTATTTTTTGGCATTTTTAGAACCGTTTTGGATCGTATTGAACCGTACTATGCAGTCCATAAATAATTCATAAATTTGAAAAATTGTTATGGCATTGGCCATGCCATTACTTGTTAATTATTTGTTTAAGTATAAACAATTTGGAATTAAATGGCTACTGCATGGAATAAATGTCTAAAACAGAGAAGATTAGTAAATTGTTATCGATTTGCACTGATTAAGACTTACCAAAAATGTTTATTATTTCTAACTACTAGAAATATTTATAAACCAAATTTCCTTTTTTAAAAGTGATTTTTTTTTAAACTACATGTTTTTAATGTTAAAAAAATAAGTATTTTATCATAACTTGATCATTAAAAATGTTTAAAGTCCAGTGTTTCATATCAAAGTAATATTAGATCATAAGTAAAATGAATTTTTGAGTTCAAGTAATCGAAGTTTTATTAGTTTGCTTGTAACGCAAATTTAGGTTTCAAAACGTAGTTTGAAAAGTTGGTCAGGAAGAATTTCGAACTGAAATGCGGCAAAGGATAGAATTGAAAAAATATAGAACTGTCTACTTCTTCTTGCGGTTCTTCTTGCCCTTCTTCTTGTGATTTGATGGCTTCGTGGGTGCACTGATCTCCGGAATCTTTGGTAGAACCAAAGGATCTGGGGGTAGCACCACCGGCAAAAGATCCATCGACATATTTTCCTCAAGATCATCGGACTTAATGGGACTAAGAGAGTTGCCCAGGAAATCCAGGGCATCAGAGGATGGGGTTATCAGGCCCTGGTCATCAAGATAATCATCGTCGTCGTCTAGGATCAGTGAATTGGAGCTGTCTGCTTGAGTCGAAACATCGTTATCCAGGAAAATGCTTGAGGCCTTCATCATCCCTCCAGTTTTGACCATCTGGTCATAACCCTCAACCATTCCAGACTGCACATTTTTCTTTTTCTGCTCCAACTTGTCCAGATCCCCCTCCTTTTCGCTCAGTTGCTTGGGCGTTAGGACTACCGGTTGCCAGTAGAGATCCAAGGTGGACATCCGCTTAACGCCCACATCCTCGAGGATACTTTGATTCGGCAGGATGCGACCCTTGTGGGTCAGCCGACTGAAGCCCATGGGCACGCACATGGTGCGTCCGATTCGCTCCTTGAGATGACCCACCGTCCCGAAGCGATCCACCTCGTAGATGCTCTTGCGCCCATCTCGCGTCTGAATCAAAATCTGCATCCTCCGCATCTTGATCGCTATATAGATTCCACGGATCGGGAAACTGGTGCTGGGTCTCGAACTACGTTTTATATCTCCGTATATCTATCCCCGAATCCTGCGTTTTTTAAAGTCTGATCAAGGAATAGTTTGCATTGGAATGCCTCACCGACCTGTCAACATCGTAATTTGGAAACTAAATCATGGCATCCTAAAACCACTATGTTGGCATTTCCATTTGATCTTGGAAAAAAAAAATTTGATAGCACTGTGCAACAACAAACTGGGGTTACATTTTCCGGTTTCAATGTATAATTTAAAACCATTTTAAAATTGCTAGTATAAGAAAGCAAATAACTCAATAAATAACACCTTTACAAAACCTTTAAGCCTGTGGTCGTCATGTTTTAGCGAAACATCAGGATAATAAACATGCAATGCGCAGGAATCCCTAGAATCTGTAAGCTTTACCGAACGTTCTAGCTCTTACAGTTTCTGAGATCAAAGCGTTAGCTAGATATACTGGGCTAGTAATCCTGATAAAGAATATATATGTACTTTATAGGATCGAACAGTAAGAAATATTTAAAAAAAAAAGACGACACTAACCGTTCTATTATTTTTCCATATGTGTATATATAGTATGTATATACATATAGTATGCATGTTTTGTACTAACAAAATAAAATAGGTCTTTATTTTGGCTTCTCTGGATCTTAGAACCATCTTATGTGATCTATTTCCGCACATCCAGTTCGATTGGAAATGGCCCCGGAAAAGCGAGCCGTGAAAAGTAATTGACAAACATTCGGAGGCGTCGACACATTTATGCACCCTCATTGGCGGAGAGAGCTTCCGGTTTTGGTACTGCTTGTGGTTCTAGTTCTGGTTCTGGATCGGGTTTGGGATCGGTTCTTTAAGGAGGAATGGAGTGCTAGAGGGGTATTTTGTCAACTGCAGTTCGGACCATCAAGTGCCGCCCGTTGACAGCTCGTAAAAAGGCAAATGCAAACAAAATGTTTGATCAATGTTTGCCTTCGATTCCCCTTTAATTTTCATACTTATGTTTGTTTAGAGCAAAAAAAAAAAATACAAAAATTTAAAAAATGATTAAAAAAAAAGCAATTTGAAAACATTTTAAGACCGAAACTCAAATTGTTTTAACTCCTATTCCAATTTCCAAAAAAAAAATTGTAATATCCATTAATTTAAATATTTTTTCCCAAATCCGACAAACAAAAATTGATCCATTTACTATTAGCCGCATTTAATTTGTAACCTTTATTTTTGTTCAAAGCAGTTATAGAAAATAGTTTACATTTATCAGATAAAATGCAGCTGAAAGGAGAAGATGATGCAGAAGATGGAGCCCAGGCAGTTGCGAGGGTGGGAGGACTGACTTCATCCATTGACACAAAGCTCTTTAGAGCCTCCAGGCGGCCAGGAGTCCGCCGATCATCAGGGACATGGACAGGGCCAACTGGGCGCCGGAGTCGCGGGCCAGGGGAATCTGGGTGTCGTTGGCCTGCAGGAAGTTGCAGCCGCGTCCATCGCAGACGAAGCAATTTCCGGCCTTCACGCACTGTTTGTTGGCGGTGGCCGAGGAGAGGCATCCTCGCTGGAAGGTTCCATCGGCGGTGCGGTTGCTGTTGCGGATGTAGCACTGGTCACCGAACTTGTAGATCGGGCAGATCTTGGACGACGCATAGGTCTCCGTGGCGCAGCTGGAGCTCGTCGAGTTGCCGGAGCACTGGAGGCACTGCAGCCGGGTCACCGGGAAGGTGTTCCGGTTGCAGCCCTCGGTGTAGGTGCACAACTGGCACTCCAGGTCGTTTGTGCAAGTGTTCCGGGTGGCGTTGTCCAGGTCGGCGGCACATCCACGAATTGTGTAGCCATCTGCAGGTGAAGGATTAGAACCCATTATATTAGTATCTATTGTTTTTTTTTAAGGGAATCAATTGTACAATTTCATTTAAAGGAAAGTTTTTGTTTATGAAATAGATATGAAATCATATCTTAGGACATGCTCATTATTAAATTCGTATTATTAAGATTACCCGCCTCTTTAAGTTTTCACTGGGAAGTATCATTTTCAATATCAGAGCTACAAAATACTGAAGAACAGGGCTGCCGAGGTCGAAAAAAATAACTATTAAGCCCTAAACGTTTCGTCCAATTTTCACACTAATTTAAGTGGTATTTTTATTAAAAATAACCTAAACATTTTATAAGCTAGCTCGAAACAATAATCTTTCTTACCATAGCAAAACTAACATTATCAATAACGTTTAGAATTCATCCCTACGAAATACTTATTTTTCTGCGTACCATGACAACCCTTGCAGAATTCAGAAAAATTGTAAGGCTAGAGAAACCAAGATTCTGAGATGCCACAACAAAAAAAAACTTTAATCAAACATGATTTTAAATTAAAATCTTATGAGCCAATAATGATAAAAAACCCCGACATAACATTAAGTAATGTGATTAAAATATTGATGTATAATTCTCGCAAAGAATTTTTCCCGGAAAGTTCTCGAGAGGTACATCGGAAGATTCCGTGTAAAGTATTTTAATGACTCATAATAAAAATATTAGTAACGCTTCAAAAAAAACCAAAACAAATAAAGTGGCTCGATTTCAATGAAACCTAAATGGCAAACTAAGTTAATCTGAAAGATAGGCTTTAATCTGTAATGCTAAGAATATATATGTCTTTAAAAACTTTTAACTTTTATAAAACTTAAATGTAAAATTATTACAATAAACTAACTAACTAAATAAAATAACTAGATACAACTTAAATATAATCGAAATGGTACAATTTTAAAATTAATATATCATGAGGTTGAACTTTGAAGACAAAATCAATTTAAAGCGAAGAGAAAAGTGAACTCTACTTAAACAAGAATTAATAACAATTGCCGAATTAATAATATAATTATAAATATAATGGAAGCATATTTAGGAGTGTCACAGAAATCTTTTGGGGGGAAATGTAAGTAAGTTTCAATACAAGTTTTGCCCGAAGAAATTTCTGTGACACGCTTCGTCTAAAAAGATTAGTAACGCATCAAGTAAATATGTGGAAATATTTCCAAGAATAAATAAAGGAGCTCAACAGACTAGCAAAAACAGTATAGATTTTCTGTGATATTTTGAAATTGTAAAATTAAAAACCAGATAAGATGACTCACTCAGGATGCGGGAGTAGCAGTTGGAGGTTCCATCGGAGCAGTTTCGGTTCAGCAGGCTCAGCGGATCGGTGGCGCAGCGTTCGTTGTCCTTGGAGTGGCACTGGATGCAGCCATCTGCGAATTGAGCGAGGGGAACGGAGCGTTTCGATTGAGTCTTGGCCATGCCTGATTAGATTAGATATGTTTGTTTGAAACCTTTGCGTTGACACACCAAAATAAACGACCCTAAACTCGTAACTTCAGTGCAAAGTCCTCTCTAACGCATTACATTCACATGTCTCTTTTATCTCGTTGTTTGATTTTCTGGTGCATTTAGCCCCGTTCACCTGATCTGTGTCTTGCTTATGGCGCGCACTGTACTGCCCGGCAGTTACTATCTCAAGTTCCCCGTTGCCATAATCGATTCTTATCGGCGGTGGGTGTACATAGGTTCCGAAATGAGTCAACAAACACATATTTATGTCCCAAATAAGATAAGACAAGTTAAATATACAACTCTCACATTGTTCTCAAAGTTTGCATACAAGCTTTAAAATTATCTAAAGGGTTTTCCAAAGCGATTAAGTAAGCATCAATAAATATTGCAAAACGGAGTCGAAAAAAAATAAGTGAATCATAATTTGTTTAGAGATAAAGTTTCGTTTGTGATAAGTGCATAGAATTCGAGAAATTTCTGCCTGCAACCAAGGCACATTTATAATGCATTTCATCATAAAAATAAATCAAACAGCTGCCGATATATATGGCCATATAAATCTAATACATACTTCATATCACATTATTTGCCGGCTGTACACACTCACAAACACAAAAAAAAATGTTGGCCAACTTATAGACCTTTGAATTTTCTCATACAACTCGGTTATTGATATCTTATCTTGAATTTATTTCCGTGTCCATGAGACCATCGCTTATCAAAACCTTCTTATATAATACACTCAATAAGTCATTTACTTGAAACAGGAAAAAAAAGTGTTTTGATCAAACCAGAAGGAAATTTACCACAACTGATGTACGTCAAAAACGACACGGCAGCGATCACCAACAGATAGAACTTCATTATGACTTGTTTGGATATTCGATCACGAGCGAATGTGACAAAATCAGTTTCTAATTTCACGGCGATCGAAGAAGCGACGAGCAGTAAGGCTGAACTAAGACTGACGGGAGTAACGAAAGTTCGGATGGGGATTTGAAGCTACCGAGCTTGGGCAAAGAGATAAGGTCCCCCGACGGCGGTAATCGGGTCTATAAGGTGGGCCGAACAAAAAGCTTTAGCCGGTGATTCACTGTGTTAATAGTTAACATTTCGTACCCGTTTTTGCCTCAACCGTTTGGGGAAAGCAAATATATGTTTAGCCAATAGATTAGCGCAGTTTTGATTTGAATTTGTCACAATAGTTGTAATACATATCGCTAATTTATAAAATAAAGTGATACATTTAAAAAAAAATAGCATTTCGAGAAAAACTCATCTTAATTGTTCAAGTGTTCAAGTCTGTATATAACATATGTTTGTCTTTCAGCAAAGCGATCACACGTTTAAATTTCTTACGCTTTGTGTATTAAATATGGAATTATACAATTAATTGCACACAGAACATTTCTGCATCATTAACTTAAAAATCGTATATGAGCGATTTCCATTAAAATACCTACTATGTTTGAGTTTATTAAACTTTAAATGATTTTAAAATTTCATAATATTTGAAAATGCATAATTATTATTCTTAAAAAGAATCTTTAAAAACATGAAACCCATACTTATTATAATATTTAATGAGAAATATTAATTAATTTTTTTTTTAAACAATTTAAATTTAAATCACCCCGCACTTGCAATGCGTTCCACATTAAGCGATAACTTATCGATAAGTGCTCCTTGCCAGGTGGGTAAAAAAAGCAACGTCTACCAACACCACATTGAAATTTTATAAATTTGTAGCATAATTTGCAATGTTTTAAGAGAAAATGATTGAGTCTCAGTATTATTTTTTAATTTTTAACACCCGGAAAAGGTCAGAAAACATAAAAATTCAAGTAAAACCGGTCAACCGACGAGCTAGGCGTTTTGTCATTCTGCGCGGAAAAGGCAACGGTCACACCACATTGACAAAAAAAAGTTTCCCTTTTGATATCAAAACAAAACAATTTTCCGTAGAAAACTCTTTATTACAAGGCGATGAACGCGACGCCAAGCACACCTGCCACACCGGGAACACCCGGAACTCCCGGCAGCTTGGCCATGGAAGTGGCCCGCGTCCAGAACTCGGCACTGGCCGAGTTCAAGAAGCCCACGGCGATGGTGCGCCACAAGAACAAGCCGAAGATCCTCACGGAGGAGAAGTACATCGAGGAGATGTCCAAGATCATCCAGCGCGACTTCTTCCCGGACCTGGAGCGGCTGCGGGCCCAGAACGACTACCTGGACGCGGAGTCACGGCGGGACTTTGTACAAATGGCCGAGATTCGGGAGCGCTACAGTCTGGGCAGGATTCCCGGAACGGGACGAAGCTCCAGCCGGAGAAACAATCAGCGGAACACTGGTGGGTATTATCCGGGATTGGTTGGAAAGTTCCCACCCTTCCATGAAGTTATAGTACTATCTTACTTAGGAGTAGACTTATGGTATAAAACTCTGAAATAGAGTATAAAGATAAATGATTTCCTCTTCCAATTTGCAATATCCTTAAACTAAATACAATAAACGAATTAAGAAGCATTAAGAATTTAAAAAATTAATGGAAGGCGCATGTGCCCTACATTTAAAACCGTTTTCGGGTCTTTATGTTATTAATCACTAGATTCCCATACAATTCCTAGGTTTAAAATCTACTTTTCATTACTTTTTATGAGGATGAGAGAAATTATGATATTTATTACTGTTCCCCTCAACAATAGGAATATTAGGCTTCTTCAATGTTTTAAAATTTGGAATAGGAGCTAGAGACAGGAGCTATAAAATATAACACCCATAAGAATTTCAAAGTCTGATGAAATTAAACATTCATACATTTATACATGTATAACTTCTTCTCATATTACTGTAGATTTATTTTACCTTAATAATAAATATCATAAAATAGTTCAAAAGATTACCCACTAATTATCCAATTGCTCTCATTTCAGCCATGTCCCCGGCCACATTTGAGACGCCTGTTAGTCATGCCGGCGGCAGCAATACTCCATTGCCCAATTCCCGGGCCACAGACACCCCCTTTTCCACAACCGGCTCCGAGAAGAGCGACGCCGAGGGCGGGGACTCCACCTCAAAGCTCTCCCTCGACGCCTTTCTGCAAAACTACACCAGCGAGGATAACCAGAGCTTCCAAGAGATTATCGAAACAGCGGAGGCCAAGCTGCGCCAGAAGTACGCCGTGCTGTACAACCACGAAAAACTTTCCGCAGAGCAACTGCAGCGCGCCCTAATGCTCCCCAGCATAGAAAAACAATTCGAAGAACCAGATCCGCTGCGAAAGATTGAAACCTGGAACTACACCAACATGAACTCGATTATGTATGTGCCCGATGGCGTGGAATATACAGAGGAGGAGCGTGTCCAGCTTGCTGAGCGTAAGCAAAGTATACAGCACAATGCCACCAGGCTGCCAGATGAAGCTCAACACCACGAAATGGAGGCCAAGAAGTCCGATGAAGTTCCCGCCAATGGGACAAGTGAATCCACGGCCACTCCCAAGATACGCGGATTCGATCTGCTGCGTTCACCCTCACCGCGACCCGGAGAGGCCTTCTCGCCCATCATGACCTGGGGTGAGATCGATGGCACTCCCTTTCGCCTGGACGGAGGCGATACCCCCTTGCGGCCCACCCAGGGTCCCTCGTTCCGGATTAATGAGAATTCTAGGCGCGAAACCATCGCCATTGCTTTGGCCGAGAAAGTTAGCGAGAAGATGCGCAACCAGAAGCAAATGGCTTTGGATACGGCTCGTCGTAACATTGGCTCCCCACTGATACGCACCAATATGGAACGCCTGGCCAGTATGTCGCCAGCAGCTCAACTACTGGCCACGGGGAAGCTGGGTCTCCGAGGAACGCCCAGATTATTGCACACACCATCTCCGCTGAGCGCCAGGAAGCGCAAGATAACGCCCGGAGTTGTGAGAAACACCCACACGCCACTGGGACCAACGAAACAGCAGCCGGGAAAGGTCAGCACTCCAGCCAAGAGCTCCACCATTGATACGGGCTCCACGCTCACTGATGATCTGCTCAAGATACCCACAAAGCGACGCTCTGCAGCCGATTTCTTTTAGCACATACTGCCTACCTTGTTCATGTTTAGTTTCAATACAATACCTCATAATCTTAAACTGTTATTACTTATGGCATGAAAAGTTGTTAACTGACGAAATTGAAGTTTGATTTCACACAGTGTTAAAGGAAACCCCACATGAAGAAGTGGATTTTAATGCTGATAAGGAAATGGTGAATGCGAAATCATAAACGTAATACAAATACATCTCTTATCAGCTGAAAGCGTGTGTCTTGTTGTGTAGCAATAAAACAAACTCACGTTTGGTTTTGTCAGTCACTAAATATTTTTTTAAATCGCATAAGGAGATTTACTTTTTTTATAGAAAGTTTCAATCCTTATAGGATGGAATTTCTTTTCGTGTTTAACATTTAACTGGAAACTTATTTTAAAGATCTAGTGCTAGGAGTGAAATCTTATTTCAAAGTGAGAGGCGAATTTCTCATGACTGAACGTTGCCATTTTGTATGTTTATACATATGTACATTTTAAAGACATTCAAGTTGAGGCAACACCCTTCACTTAAAGCCTACTCGACATGAAAAAGTACGAATTTAAATTTAAAAAATACATATATTTATAAATCAGGGTAAAAAATGAATTCCTTATGAGATACATAGACTTTTAAATTTGTTCTTTTTAATATTTTAATACCCATTACCATAGATCACATTATTATAAACAAACTAAATCAGCGCATCCCTGTAGTCCACATGATCGCCGGACTTGAACTTGAGGGCCTCCAGGACCTTGATAAAGCGCTCCGTGGTCTGGGCGGTGGTCAGCATAGTCTTGGCCTCCCGTTGCTCCCGGAACATGGCGACCACGGCGGGATCGTGGGCCTCTCGCTGGACCTGCACGGTCATCTGGGTATCTATAACGCCGGGGGCATAGTTGAGCACCAGGGTGTCCTTAGAGGACTCCTCCGTGGCCAGCACCCGGAAGTACATCTCACGTGCCGCTTTCACCGTGCAATAGTGAGCCATCGAGGAAATGGGCGCAATGGCGGCCAAGGTGCTCAGATTGACCACCAACTTTGGGATTTCCTGGAAGACTCGCATGAACTCACAGTTCAGGGATATGGCAGAGAAGACATTGGTATGATAATACTTCTGCAGATAATCGGTATTCCCGATTTCCTTGGCCCTCTTAGAGGTATCGCCCACGGTGCCGGCATTATGAATGACTATGGCTCGCTCGAAGGACTTCTTGCCACCGGAACTCTCCAGAATCTGGGTAAAGTCCTCCGTTTTGGCCGACTCCAGCTCCAGGGAGTACGTATATACGGGAAGACCCGGTGTTGTGGTTGCGATCTGTGCCTTGGCCTCCTCCAAAAGGGGCTGATTGCGTCCGAGAAGAGTGACCACGGATCCCTCGGCTGCTATCCGCCTTGCCAGCTGCTGGGCAAACTCCCGACCAATTCCACGAGAAGCCCCCGTTACCAGGAGGTATGTGCGTTGTTTTAGGTCCATAGTTGCAGCAAAAACAAGACTAAATTACTTTCTATTTTTCACAGCTCCCGCGGCAACAGTTGGCTGTCTTTTTTTTAACTTGCTTTGGCTTTTAGCTGATTTGGCAGCTTTTCCACAGCTGACTAAAGCTCAATGCATTTCCAGGAGCGTAAGGTTGACAAAAATACTTTTCAAAAGGGATGTTCAGAGCTACAAATTCGTTTTATTCATTTAAAATATGGAATACTTTTAAGGTCCATTTCGTTATATATATGTTATATTTGATTTAAAATCTTTTTTTGTTTTTTAACTTTATTAAGATTTTAAGCCATTAGGTATTTTTAACATCTAAACTTTTTTATATTTTAGATGGTTTTTTATGTTTTTGAAATATTTTTATGTCTCTTGAGATAAATAGGCTTGGGATATTTATAATTAAATATTTAAAGGGGGTCTGATATAGATCGGAACCCCTATTTAACCGTCCATGTTTTTAGCTCTCTCTTAGCCTGTTATACTCTCGATTCCCACTTCTATACTCTCACGCTTTAAGCTCTACTTGAAGTGAAAAGGTTATCGCCGGCTCTTGCTTAACGATTCAATTTAATTAATTGCCTATGTTTAATTAATCGCATCGTTACTGTCAGCGGAATGTTTCAAAAATTGCCGGCTTTATCGTAATACCCAAGCGATACCCACTTGTATGTGGTAGAATGCATTAAGCAAAGTCAAAGTCATTCAAAAGAGTTGAATCTGAGATTCGCGTTATCTTCTCTCGAAAGCTCTGCAACTTTGTAATAAAGTTCAAGCATCAAAATCGTCAATCGAATTTAATTTTTTTTTATTACCCTTACTTAAAATTAGTTCGTGTTTAGAGATGTAAAGTGAATTTGTGGTTTGTTTTTCCAAATTTTAGGTATCTCCAAATTTTAAGTACCTCCTAAAAAACACAGCTCACATTAATTTATTTAATATAAAAATGTAATGTATTCCTCAATTAAAATATTTTATATTTTATTTTTAATATTTTCATTATTGTGACTTAGCATAATAAAAACTATGCAGCATCGCAAGATGTTAGGGAAGTTCAAAAAGAAAACATCGTTAATTTTAATAGTTATCACCCTGATTAGAAAAGCTTTGCAACATTGTATGCAACTGATAGCTTTAAATTTGTTTGTCTAATCTGTTAAAAAATAGATTCCCAAAAGTATGCCATGAATAAAGTTAAACAATTATCTGCGTAGCATACTGTGAATTTTTTTTAAGATGGCTTTTACACGCAAAAATATGTTTTTTTTTTAATATAGTTTTAAAAATACTCACACCAAAGACAATACCGATGTGGTACATTGGGATATATTTGGCCCAAACGTATATTCAAAAATAGTTTTTTGAGATCTCAAATACGTCTGATTAAATTAGAATTTTAGGTTTAACTAGGTGTGCGCAATATAAGCTTAAATTATGGAATTTAAATTCTCTTCTTGGAAAACTGTTTCAGGAAATCTGTAAATCGTTCTTATAGGACTTATAAAAACAATAAATGTTTTCGGTGTGTATTTCTTTGAAAAAAAATGTGCGAATTTGTCATATTAAAATCCGTTTTTATTTTTTGAATTTAAAAATAATTTTCAATCCTTAAGATAGATTTAAAACAAAAAATAAGAACATTTTCTGTATTACTTTTTGGTTTCCCTGGCTGTTTTAAATCTATGTCTTAAAGCTTATTTGTTAAAAATTTAAAAAAAACAACCAAAAAAGTTGAAGCAGCTACTGTACTCATCTACACAGAAATCCACATAGAAAAGTGAAATTCCGGATCACGATTACGAATTCTTTGCCGATTCCGACCCGGCAACAACACCCATTCATATACATATGTACAATGCACATTGTACATACATATGGACACGTGTCTTCCGTATAATTCGATTTCTTATCTCTAAGGCGACTTGCCGGGTCTGTCTTGTCATCTTGTTTTGAAATTAATATTGTGTAGCAAGCGAAGTGTATATATGTTAATATACATTCGTGTGTTCCCATCGCTGATTCATAAACTCAACGTTTTCTTTTTGGGAGAAATACTTTGGTTAATAAACGATTGGGTTTTTTAACACAAATTAATCATTTAAACTTATTTTTTCTTTGCCTCTGGTATTGAATTCGACATTGAATTGAAAAATAATCTAATAAATTCCATATTTCAACTAAATTATTATTGTATACTTCTTTAAAAAGCTGGATAGCTGAAATATTCTAAAATTTGCTAAGATTTCCATTTTAGTCTAAATTTCTGAAAAGAACTCTACCAAATTAGACCGATTAGTTTTCCTAATCAAATATGCTAAAAGCTCCATATCAATCTAATCTTCTGATAAGAACTTCACCATATTGAATCGATTGGTCTCCCCATTCACCCACATCACCAAATAAAAAATATAAGTTTGTTTTTCGTTTTCCTGTTCTGGTGCTTGGTTTTCTTGCACTTTCAGGTTTAAATTCAGGATCAGTAGCCAGATTTTATTAATTTCCAAGGCAGTCAAATCAAAAACAGCATCCAAATCATCAACCAAAAACAGAACCGAGTCCATCGGGGACGCAGCCCACCCACACGGTGCTACTCATAAAACAAAAGTGTCGTAGTAGTCGACATCGTGACCGGAGACAAAGGAGATCTCCTCCAGGATGTTGATCAGCTTGAGGGTGGCCTGGCGCGGCTGGATCCTGGGCAGCTGGAGCAGCTGCTTGGAGGCCACCAGATCAACGGGATTGATCTTGTTTCCGTTCACATCGCACTGGCTTTCATGGGTGGCCAGCAGTCCAGGGGAAAAGCTGAGGACTTGAACGCCGAAACGATGTTCCTCGGCGGCCATGGCGCGGAAATACATGTCCCTGGCCCGCTTGCAGGAGCAGAGTAGTCCCGAATAGACCAACGGACGAACCAGCAGGGAGGAGGTCACATTCACCGCCAGCTTCTCCACCTTCTCCAAATACTTCGATTGCAGCCACATCTGGTTGAGGGCCACTGGAGCATACAGATGGTGCTGGACGTAGTCCTTCCAATCGTCGATGCCCTGGGGCTCCACGACCACATGAGTGGCCGCCTGACCTTCGTTGTGTACGATTACGGATCGCTCGAATGGCTGGATGTCCTTTTGAGCCTCGAAATGTTCCTTCAAAGCCTGCTCCATTAGCTGCACACCATTTCCATGACTCTTGTTCAGCTTCCCAGTCAGCACTTGAACGTTTTCCGTTTTCAGCTCACCCTGGAGGTGATTCTCCAGTCCGCGTAGCTGCTCCAGATCTTCATCCAAGATCAGAGCCAAGGATCCGGGGGCCAGGCGCCGGCAAAACTCCAGAGCCAGGGATTGACCCAAAGGATTCGAGCTGCCACTCAGCACCAAAAAGGTGCGCCTGTTTAAATCCATTCTCTTTGCTGCCATTATTTTGTTGGTTTAAGGATTTCGGGATACTTGGGTATACGACACGACTGGAGAACTTTCCACTTGCGATCACTTGGAGGCGTACGACTGTACTGTAGCCAAAATTTCAGAGGGCTTCGCCAGCTGGACTCTGTTTCGACTGATAAGCAAAAATCCGATTAGCCAAGTATATGTGTATACTCGGCTGAGCCACTTAGCTTCCGATTCCGTATATAGAAACGATCTGAGTTTGTGGGGATGTCAGCTTGGGGCTTTTATACAACCCAACCAGCTGATAAGTCCGGGTTCAGGCGTCTGGGATTGTTGCCGAGCAATTAACCATCTGTAATGGGTGGGATTTCGGCACCGTAAACCAGACTCACGTCGTTAATCCTCTAGGGGAGTGAAGTGGAGTCCCACTATTGCGTTTTGGGGGCCCAACCTGAATCGTAGATAATTCGGACATTATTTAGAAGCACAACTTTGGAAACTAACTGTATAATGAAATATTAGAGGATAAACTAGATGCATTTCGAAATAATTTGCATATATTCTATACCTATAAAGACAATTCTTAGATATTTCTTTTGTGTCGCCTACACGTGACGTGGCATAATATTTTTTTCAGAATAATATTCTGAAATATTTTTTTCAATAAGATCTAGCAAACACTAGCAGAATTAATTTTAAGGAAAATTTTTCGATATATAAAATGGTATTCTAAGAAAAATATATTATTTTTAACTGTAAGAAAATAGTATTACGAGGTATATATTAAGGAATGGGGTTTTAATTTAACATTTTGACAGCATTTTCTGTTAACTGATTTAAAGGGGATTTTATTATAATTCGATGAATAAATGGATGTTCTCTGTATTTATTTCAGGCCCCTCCTTGTTTTGTCACTGTTTTCCATGAGCCCAGAAGCTGATCGATTGTCATCTGGGGGTTCTAAAGTTCTTTTGATATGGCGGCTAGTCAAGGTTACTTTTTCGGTTGAAGAGATTAACCAAAGATTTTTGTAAACAAATCAGTTGGCAACAATGAATAGTCAAACTTAGCCAAACAGATTAGGACAATACTATAAGACAAAAATAATTAAGAATTAATAATAATACTAGGTAACACTTCACCCTCATTTAAGAAATTAACTTTGTTAAACAAATTTAATATTTGAGTTTTACAATTGTTTTAGAACTTTGATTTCAAAAAAATTAATGTTTATTATATGTTTTATACTTTTGATTCCAAAAATACCTATATGTTATACCTTTTTGAGAGCAATTTCAAATTAGATTCCCATGTTATTATGCTAAAACATTAGCCTTAACTGTAAAAATGAATATACAATTTGTAGAATCTTTCCTAGCAATTTTCCCAGTTCTTAACAAAACAAATTAAATAAATATAAAACCATACAGATTTCGCAAGTAAGTCTATCGCCTAACAAAATGTATATACATGCTGCATACATAATATTTTCCAAATCGCACAACAGGTTATCGCACTCAGTCGTTGAACTTCCATAGACAAGTGAAATGCAAAATCAATTTACAATTACATAATATTGCTTGTTCATTTGCGTTTGTGAGTGTTTCAATGGGTAGCCTATCGATTAGTGTAACACGTGTGAATTTGGTGAGTCGTCGTTAATAAATATCAACTAAATCACTTGGTTACAGATGGTGTCAAAAACGTGTTTATTGTGATGTGTAATATGGGTTTTTTTCGGAAGGAATGTGCTTATATTGATATGCTGCTTATTTTATGAACCTGCTTATTTGAATCTATATCAATCTGCGATCTGCAATCAATAGGATGGGTTTTTTTTCAATCATTTTTTGTTTTGACTAAAAATCCACGCAATAACAAGCACGAATTAGGTTAATGGCCCAAATTTATTTCTGTGAAGTCTGCTCCCGATTCCCGGGTCGTTTCGAGATGACGCTGACCCATTTAGAAATCGGGAACGGAACGCACTTCTAATCGCAATTTTACTAATACAGATCAAATTTTGCAAATTCGAATTTTCTGGAACTAGCAGAATTTAAAGAAACCACAAACATCAAGTCTTAAAACAAATCCTAATAATCTACCTACTAGATCCGTATAACCTAATGTTTTTACATCTTATAATGGCCAGTCTTGAATGACTAAAACTCAAGAAGTACGCTTTATTCCACTAAGTTCTAACTTCGTTGTTAGCCATTTACATCGTATCACCCAAAGTTCTTGGAATTCACCAGCGGGAATAGCATCACATCTGTCTGTTTATGTTGATTTAGGGGTATTATCAATACCAAGTGGGGCTTTCAAACCGAAGCACGTAGCAGCGCAGCTTTAGTGGGCGAGTGGGGACCCGAAGAGAAGTCGCTTTTGGTCAGGCTGTACCTGAACCTGACCCTGCCAACGAATCAAGGTCATTCAACGAGAAAGTGACCCCAAGACCCCGCAGAAGATTTCATTTAGCGCGAATAAAGAGCAAAGATTTCATTCACCTCGACAACAGCTGCATAAAACTAATGCATGGGCACAGCTTTCGGCGATTCTTCTCGGTTTTATCACGGTTATAAAAGCCGTGTGGACCGCTCCCACAGTCAGTCCAAACTTTTAACGAGCCAAGAACAGAGTGAGCCCACAGATTCGATAAGAACATTTACAATATGCTAGCCTGCAAGCTTCTTCTCTCGCTGGTGATGGGAATGCACTGTGTGCAACTGGTAAGAAACAGAAAATTAAGTATGTGAGTTTATTGAGTGCCAGTAAAAGTGGAAGTAAAAGTGCGTAAGTGAAAAAGACAACTGATGATGTAGCCAGTGTATCAGTAAAAATAAAAAAAGACAAATAAACCTGATAAGTGCAATGGTTGCCCCCGAACAACTTGTTGTTTATCCTTACAAAGGAAGCTTTCTAAGGAATTTTCCAACACTTATTAGTTGAAGAATACTTATTTCTATAGAAGTTACAATGGAAGCTGTCTAATGAATTTTCCAACACTTCTTAGTTGAAGAATACGTGTTTGCATAAAAGTTACAAAGGATAAAGGGTGCTTCCTAAGAAGATATTAAACATAGCTCTAAAAGGTGTTTTGAAAGTTAAGACAAGTTAAACCAACAAAGGAAAACAAATTTAAAAAAAAATATATATAAAATAAAAGAAGTTTCATTTAAAGAGGTCCTCAATATATTCTTGGTATGTGATTAGCGAGTAAAATGAAAAACCCCGATAAAAAAAAACTCATTTTTTTAATTTCACGTCTATCCTTCAGCTAATGGCGGCCTGTGTGTGCTCCGAGAAAGGAACGGACTACTGCCAGGGCTGCCAGGGATCCACGGTGATCCGTCCGAAGCCCCGATACTACGAGCCCAGTGACCTCTCGCCGATCGGTGACAACTGCTGGTGCAGCAAGCAACTGATCGAACCGGCTCAATTGCCCAAGACCTGTGGAAAAGTACGTGAGCTGTTCCAGTATATGAACGCCTTCAACAACCTCTTGGGCCGTCGGATGCTCGAGGGCGCCATCGAAGCCAAGACGCTGGCGGCTCAGCGTCTGGCCGAGCGGCTGCAGCGTCTGGAGCGGATCGACTGCTACAAGAGGGGCCCCACGGGGCATCGCTATCAGCTTTAACACAACCCATGACTAATCCACATTGACAACCATACCCATAACCAGTAATGCCTACCCAGATAGTAAAATCATGTAACTTCTTATCTAAACTAAAAAGGGAAGTACCATTAGTTGCTGACTTTATTTAGAAAAATCCAAACTCTATCCAAATATTTATCAAGAAACTTCAAAAGCCCAAAGTGGATTTTCGTATAATAGCTAGATATGATTGAATAAGTGAAATTTTCTTACTATCTTTAAATACTCGATTTAAGACGACCTTTTTCGATATATTCAGAGACCAAAACTATTTTGTTTAACTGAAGGTTTTCAAAGAAAAACAAACTTATAACTTGTATTTTTAGATTATATCTTTTTAGTTTTTTAGTTCTAATCATCCTTTTAACTTTCCTTTCAATTATTTCTATGTAATTATGTTTTGTAACTTTATGATACTTGTAAAAATCAAGTGATAGGAGTAAGCCTTTTAAATTAAGCGGACTCTAACTAAAAGTAATAATTAGCATAACTAAAAAAAATTATATAAATTGCAATAAGTTTTGTATCGAAAGTATAACCGTACCCAAACATAACTTAACACAAGGTATCATAAGACTTAGCATTAGTTTCGACTGTTGTAATCAGCACCCAGTAGCAGTGGCATTCATCCATCGTCATCCCCCTCAGCTGCAGTAACAATTTCCGCATCGGGCGGCACTATCACCGCCCCAACTTTGCGTCACCATCAACCCACAGCATCGTCATCCATATACACCGCCTCATATATCGCCGCGTACGTGCTCCTAAGACCCGGAGCTATGCGGAGCGATAGAACCCATTTAGATACCTCCCAAAGATATTCGAACCGAAACTGAACTCTCGATTTGATCAATCCACACAGACCACACCATGCAAGCCCACCTGTTCGTGCCAGCAGGTCAACTCCGACAGCAGCTACGCCTCCTCATCCAGCTCAGGATCCGTCTACGGAAAGTGAGTAGCATACTTTCATGATTGGCGTTCTAATCTAATCCTAATCCCTTCCAGCATTGAATATGCGGCAGAGAAGAGAGTGGACAACAGTCCGGCAGCAGATCCCATCAGCGTGGGTCTGGCCGCCCAGGCCGGAAAGGCCATCAATGTGCCAGAGGCCAAGTTGGCCTACGGATTTGCCCAGAAGCCCATCGACGGAGAGAAGAAGGTGGTCTTCTCTAATGTGCCCGAGGAGAATCTCTTCAAGTTGAAAAGCGAGGTGATCACGCTGAAGAAGCGTACCTATGTGGCCAAGCAGGAGGAGGAAGAGGAGTACGCCGAGGAGGAGCAGGAGCAGGAGCAGTCGGCCGATGATGAGGAGGCGCCGCAGCTCACCTACAAGCAGCTTGGCTACATCACCGAGCAGTACAAGAACCCCAAGTTCAGGAAGATCAGCAGTTCCAGCTCCAGTTACGCCTCCAAAGACTCCAGCGAGGGCTACGGCAAAGTGGCCGGCAAAGTGTCCGTAGACTGTGGATTTAAGCCCGGCAGGATCACCTCGTACCGGAAGTCAAAACGACAGGAGTCCGATGACGAATACTACTAAAACATACCCCTTCATTTAGCGATCCTTCCGTTTGTAAATATGTATATACGCTAGGGAATGAATGGATGTTTGTCTAAGTTAGTTTTTAAAATATATATTTATACAAAGTGCATACTTAAGTGGGTTTTCTTATGAACATTTGAATAGAAGGTACTATGTTTCATAGGTCTTTGGGATAATAAGAACAAACTGTCTATCTCATTTCTGGAAATATTTTTAAAGGCAGAACATACGTATATGGTTTGTAAAAACCCACTTTCTTTATACTTTTTATAGTAAAGGTAAGTTAAGGTGAGGTAAATAATTAGTGCACTTGTGTAAACAGCGCAATTAGGCACGTTTTGATTGTCGCATAATTTCCCATTCATTTACCCTACAAAATATTTTAAAAATGCTACTGCTTTAAAAACGCGCACATGAATGCTTTAGAAAATGAAAATTAACTACTGTTTACTTTAGAAATATAATACGGTATCATTAAGACTTTAAAATCTTCCCACGACGTATTGTTTTATTTATTTGTTATACATTTTTATGAATACAGTTGAGCATATCTAAAACGAACTATTACCAACCACTTGTCAAAACACAAAACTATTTACAGTCGGTTTTAAAATAGCCTCCAAAGAAAAATATAACCTAACAACACTACATTTATGTACAATGTATATCTTATGAAAACCGTTTGTACAAAAAGGCACTTAGTTTTAAAGGTATTGAAATGGAATCCTATAAATGAGTTAAAAACGATTTAAGACATGTCCGGTTATTTGAAGATCAATGAAAACTTTTGGCATAGGTATTACAATAATAAATTGCAAAATAGTTGTTGATTTATACAAAAATATTGAAGCTTTTAAAATGTGTAGGATAAAAAACTAACAAGTAAAACCAAAAATAAATAATTTTTTTTAAGAATTAGAGTTCGAAGACCGTAGTTCTCATTGTTGAAGTTCCACTGTGGATAATTCTGGGTTTGGCGTTTGGATCTCGACTTTTTGAGACACTCGACACTGAAGAAAGCGGCGAACGTCGGGAACATGACTTTTGACTGAAAACATGACCCGCCAACTATTTGAAAAGGTCAGCGAAAACAAAAACAAACAGAGTGGTCAGCCGGCGTCTCTGGGGAAGAAGACCTTGCCCAAAGTCAAGTGCATTGGGGTCCGAGCTGGGCGAGATGATATAAAGAATGCGATGGTACATTCTGCGGCTAGTAGCCAGCAAGGCAGACAACCGAGTAGAACTAACCGAGATGCGACACCCAACAGCTGTGATAAGCCTGATATTGGGCCTCGTCCTCGTCACCCTGGTCCACACCGCTCCCGTGGAGGTCGTCTACACGGGCGAGGGCTGCGACTGTCCCACTCAGCTGGGTTACCAACTAAATGTGCCTAGTCCCCCTAAGCCCAAGAAGTATGTGGGTGGCGAGTACGGTTATCGGGTGGAGAAGCCCGTTCAGACTAAGGCTAAGATCAGCTACAGCTTCGACTTCACGGTGGAGCAGCCAAGGACACCGGCCCCGCCCAAGACCAATCCCTCCAAGCTGTACGCCAAGGTGGACCGGATCACAGTCAACAAAGCGGGTAAGTGGAAAAGGCTAGATTTAAACGCAATAGCTCTCTTGGGCGGACAGTTCTCTCTTGAGCGGACAACTTCCTAAGTTTCAACACCTCTTGTCCATCTAAATTGTATTATTTCTCAGTATGACCTTAAACAATCGAAAGTTTTTATGCTTTAATGTATTCCTTCTTTTTTTTCTAATCTTTTAACATCTTTTTGAAATAAACTTTCTTTTTAAATTCTTTTATTCTATTCTATTATCCAAATTCTATTTGGATATTAAGTGGACTTTTTTGGTCGATAACTTACATTAAAATATTGTTAAATATATTATTATAAAAATAATAACTGTTTACATTTATTTACATTTTAAAAGCTATGATACAAAAAATGAAGGACTTATACCATAAGATATTTTTATTAAACCTTATGAAAGTCCAACAGTTCACCACCTACATGTATTGCTCCCCTTTTTCCAGATTGCCAGGCCAAGAACAAGTCGACATGCGGCTGCTCGAGTTGCTCCAGCCATAAACCCAGGTACGTAGCTCCACCGATCAAGTCGCCGAACGCCATTCGTCGTCGCAGGGATCTTCACCAACCTGGTTCCTTGATCCGCCGGCGGCTAATGCGCCAACAACAGCTCCAGGAGCGTCCGCCGCGCTATGTGAAGCTCTACCACAAGGATTTGACACCTGCCCAGCAGAAGCAGCAGCTCAAGCTCTTTGGCCTGATCCCGGTGGAATCCGAACAGCCAGTGGCTGCCTCACCCAAATCCAAGAGGAAGACTAAGAAAACCCAGCCGAGCTGGATAGTTCGCCGTTTGAAAAAGCGTGATATCAAGGGCGAGTACGATCTCCTCGAGCAAGAGCGTTCCCAAATAGATCTGACTGCTCCGGAGATAATCCAGTTCATGCCGGAGACCCTGAACCCCGATTTCAAGCCCGGCCAGTGCCTCATGGGCTGTGGAGCGATGACAGCAGCGGCACCGCCACCAGAAGAGTCCAAGGACGATCAGCCTCCAACTGAACAGGGCCAAACCGAGCACACGGAGCAGCCAGATCAGCCTAATTCGATTCCATCGAAGAGATCCGCTTTTGGTTACTATCCCCTGCAGATTCCCTCGCCGCTGAGCCGTCAAGAGGACTACAGATTCGTGGATGACTCACAGCTGAGAAGCCTTCTGTCCACCACTTCTGTGCCGGATCCCCAAGAGTACAGCTCCACACCGTTGCAATTTGCAGGCGATTTAGAATCGGTTACGAGAAGATCCTATGGAGCACCACTTTTAGGTCTCGGCAGTGGCTATCCCGTGGAGCATGTTTCCGACTCCCAGCTGGACAGCATTATCTCTGGGATAGTGTACAATCATCCGTCCTACAATCATTACTCCACAGAGGGCAGTCTGGTGGATCCAGAACCCGATCAAAGGCAGCAGACAACCGATTTTCTCAAGAAACTTATCGATGGCCGCCTCGGGGGCTGGGGTTTCGATCAGGTCTCAGAGCCCGAGCATAGTCTACGGGAGGATTACTCCAAAAAACCGTCCAAAACATATGGCTACAATAGCCACACCCAAGACGGCTACAGTGTGGACACCTATAGGTCGCCACCCATAACGGATTACCTGAGGGCATGGTTCTAGACCCCAAAGACCCAACACAAAAAACCTAGCTTAAGTACTTAGATAACAAAAAAAAAAATCATAAACAAAAACCCCAAAAAAACAGAATATAATAAATTGAAAAAACATTGTGGCGTTTCTTTCTTTATTCACCCAACGTCTTCGTCTTTCTTCTCTTTGCAGCTGCGGCGAAGACGCGGGCTACGGCTACTGAAGAGAGGTCTTACGTATTACCAGCCAAACCCCAACCTAAAACCAACCAAACCCAACCCGTCGATCTGCTGAGCTCGGCTTAAAAATCCAGCCGAAAGTAGGCCAGTGGAGCACTCTGTTTTCGGGTCTCCATTCGCTTGTATATACCCATGCATATGTACTATAGTTCCACCAATTCCAACCTCCGATTTCTGTTTACGTTTTCCGCTTTTTTGGCACTTCGAGAAGTGGCCCCATTTAACAGGTTAATAAAGTGATTGTTTGATTAATGCTCGTTTCAATGATCTTTAACTTAGGGAGTGATTTATTTGAGACTGCATGATGCCCCTAAAAGTATGCCCTGCAATTTTTAAGTCTGCGGTGCATAAAGTTCCGGGAAAACGGGTTTTCCAAAATCTAAAATTAAAAAAAATTTGATTAATGATTTTGTTTGAACGATTGTATTTTGTAACACGTTGATTACCCCGGAAGTAGCGACGTTTTAAACAAAAAAGGTTTGTTTTCAAGAGTAAAAAAGACTAGTTATTGGCCCTATAAATTAAATTTTCAAAAATATTAAACAATACATCGTTGAACGTCAGGATATTTCTTTAAAGTAGAAAAAAAATAAAATAAAATAGCTATTCAAAGAAGCCCTAATCCTATTTAAGTGGTTCCGATTTGCTGGAAGCTGTGATCATCAAAAGCTTTTGTTTTTAAATTTAAGTTTTAAAATATCATTATAATGATATACTGGATGATATTATTAGTTTGTTTATTACCCATATATATATATTCTTAAAATTGATTTGGTAAATGATTTCCTAAACTATTATTATCGCTTAAATGGATTTCTGTGGCATCCCCGTATATTTCATTCTTATTTTTCTTTAGAGCATTTACAAGCTAAAAACGTTCTTTTAAATTTTCTTTGTTATGAGTATAATTTTAAAGTCCACACAAATACACATGCACTTTTAATTATATTTGTCAAGGGATTTAAAAATACTAAAGCTGAATTTCCAAATAACGATTTTTCACAATAGAGATTAAGAGATATTCTTTAATGTCATTTAAGTGTCTGTCTCAGTTAAGTATGTGAGCCAAAAATAAAAAAGTTTACGCTTGTAGACCCGCATTTATCACGATCTGTCAATGGCTTAATATTTGTTGTTCTGTATGAACAAATGGTTCATCATTCAGCGACAAATTCTTGCGATTGCATACTATTGAGAAGTGAAGAGATACTCGTGGTCAAAAGCGACAAAAAAGGTCCGAAACTTCGTGACTACAGAACCAAAACATTTCTAGACGCATTCTCAAGACTGATGGGAAGTAAATAAATAATAAATACCTAATAAAGGTTTATTAATTCGAGAGCGATTTAATGAGCGTTATTCTTAAAATAACTGTCTAAGGAATGACAATTAAAGACAATACAAATTAATAATTAAAAATGTTCTAAAAGATTTTTTTAAAATTTATTTTAGAATTGGTATTGCATTATCAAAAGTTATTTCAATAACTTATATGATTAAAATACAGGAAATTTCCGATTTTGGAACTGTTATAATATAACTTTTGAAAATTGTTATTCAAGAAGTTATGAGAAGTTACTGGTAACTGCCTTTATATTTTATATCCTTAAATGACATAGTCAACAAATAAACATAACAGGAAAAAGGTATAATTAGAAAAAAATACACCTACGAGGTTGGTAATGTTTTTAAGGAAAATAAATTGGTTTACTGTAAAAGATATGATCACGGCACTACCCCAACTTGTATTTCGACATGCCAGAAATGTTTACAGCATCCAATTAATGGCTTAAGCACCACAAAGCCCACCTGAAGAATCGTATAGTTTTCCGAACCCATTGAGTAGAGCTGAAGAATTCTACTGACCCTGGCTCTTATTCTTTCTCTCATTTTTTGCTCTGACGCATCAAGATCGCTGGAGATTCGTGGATGAGACATCTGGTGTATATGGCATATCTGGTTATAGATCACGTCCCGGCACGTCTTTTTTTTTTTGGTCGAATTGAGCTTCATTTGGGGGTATTTAAGTTGAATCCATGGGAACCGGGGCCCTCAGTCGAAATGGCAGCCATCTGCAGATGGCCTATTCTGCTTTTGTTGGCCACGACGCAGGCCTTTACTTACGCAGAGGTGGGTTAATAGAATATTTTAGTAAATGTATATATTATATTTAATAGTTATTACTTGTTTAGAATCTGAGTGCATCCACGCCCGGCGTTGAAGAGGATTATAATGTCAGCACAAGTCCGAGTCCGCCAGTGGAAGAGACCACCCAACGCTTGTCCGGCAAGGAGGAATCATTTAATAAGGATGGTGGAGAGAATTACGATGTGATCGATGTCATGGGCTCCACCGGCACGGGTGGGGGCAGTCCCAAGACTGGCCAGACCACGAGGATCTACACCACCGGCGAAGTGGACGAGAACTTCTGGCTGAAACACCTGGGCGAAGACTTCAAGCATGCCATTCATCTGCAAGTGGGCGGCACCAACGAAGATTATAATCGTTTGATCAATCATACCCAGAATGGAGTCCACGAAGAGGTACATCATGAGTATCTACCAGGTGCCGAGAGGCCTGGTAGTGGAGCTCCACCTTCTCCTCACCAATCTCGACCAGCTTTTCGCCAGGGTTTTGACCATCGAGCCATTGCCATGAAACAGCAGTATCTCAGCCAACAGCAGGCCCAGCAGTCAAATCCTCCCCAGCAACGCTATAATTATGCCCAACAACACGCACAACACTATGCACCACAACCACACACCCACCAATACGCACAACAAACACAACACAGAAACACCTACTCAAAGCCCCAGATTTATGGGCCACAGAACTACAAGCCCCAAAGCTATATCATTAACTCTAGCGAGGATCAAATGCACGCCGCCCAATCGAATCCTCCGCCAGTGCGAACCGCTGGAGAGGATCGACCCAATCACGAGGAGGAGGCAGACTCCTTCGGTGGCCAACTGAAATTTAAGTCACCCTTCAACGACTACGGCAGTCGACCAACCCGAGATATCACCTATCTTCTCTACAAACGGGGTCTCTGAACATATAGCCCCTATCAACTAAACAAAAGACTTGCGGTCTTCAAGCCCATTGAGTTTTATAAATGGAGCTGAGCCACACCCACCCACTACACACACTTCACACTACACACAACATAACACAAACCACACAAACACGGCGATTAAGGAAATTACTATATTAATAAAAGGAAAAAAGCTTAAAAACGTAGTTGTGTTTGGATTTAAATAGGATGCTTATGGTTTAAAAAAAACATTTTCAGTGACACATAAACATTTAATTCTAAAATATTGGTAACATTATTTTTACTGTTTATTAAGTAGGCAATGCTAAGAATATTCTTTTCAGACAAAAACAATTTTTTAAACCATAAGATATTATACATGTTTTACAGTTGAGACGAAAATATCCACCATATATAAATAAATTATCATTTAAGCATAGCATATCTTCTATATTGCTATATAATAGCAAGACAACACGCGAACCAAAGTCAATCTTGTTGTATTGAATAAGTTGTTCTACTATACTAAAAACTATTAAAGTACTATAAATATACGTTCAAGTTAAATCTTTTAACCGAAGCTCAATTAATACTCGTAAATATTACAAACTGATTAAAATTTTGATAATTTACACGTAAAGGAATGAAAATGTAAAATCCTTTTAATTGTATTGAAAACTAATCGATTGAGTTCAAGGATTGTGTGGAACTTACTTTAAATTATTGTTATAAGTTATAGAAGATCTTCGTATAAAGAAGTTATCTATGATGGGATGGTTTTTTAAAAAATAGGGTATACAAAAACTTACAGAGAAGTATGTGTAAATTATCCAAAGATGTAACTTAAACTAAAGAGAAATGAAGACTAAAAATATTACCGAACTACATAACGCATTTATAAATATACCTTTATGCCATGTAACTGGAGTTTATCTGTAATATCTTTTTCGGAAATATTTACAAAGTATATAAGTTTATAACGATTTTTTATAGAGTACATATAGGCAAAAATATTATCAGTTAAAAAAAAGCATCCCCTTTAGCATGTATCATTAACAAGTACATAAGTATTCCAATTAATAGATAAAGAAGATTAAGATGAAGACGAATAAAAACAGTGAGGAAGAATTTTAACATTTTGTTACTGATTTCAGAGAAAATATACAAAAGCCGTAAGTATTTCAAAGAGAAGCACTCTATACAGAACCCCAATTGAGATTCGGAACGATAGCACCCGATCTTTGGGGCGATCGCTGGAAGAGCTATGATTCAAGCCAAGGCGACCGCCACAAAGAGAAGATTGCGATGGGCGGAAAGCAGACTGCTGCACTCTGGGGTTAGGAGGTTGTCTTCAGATCTGGGCACGATGGCGAGACAAAGATGCGCCACAAAATCGGAAATGGAGATGGATCACGTAGCCGGCCGTGGCGGGCAGCGATTATAGGCGCTATAAAGAGCCGGAGTCATCGCCAGACAGCGAGCAGTAGACGATCCACACGTAAACGGCAACATGCAACTCGGTCTCTGGTTTGGCATTTTCGCCATCGCCGCCACGCCGGTTAGTAGCCACGACATCCATGGCGACCCCCACTTACATCCCTCTAACCTGCGCCAATCTCTTTTTGTTCTCCCCCCCAGCTGGTGAGCGCTAACTATGGTCCCGCTGGCGGACATGGACATGGACAGTACCTGCCCGGTCCCAATGCCGGACTCGAAGAGTACGTGAATGTGGCCACCGGTGGCAACCAGCCGGCTGCCAACCAGATCGCCTCCCAGGCCGAGATCCAGCCCACCCCAGAGGAGGCTCGCCGTTTGGGTCGCGTCCAGGCCCAACTCCAGGCCCTGAACGCCGATCCCAACTACCAGAAGCTGAAGAACTCCGAGGATATTGCCGAGTCTCTGGCCGAGACCAATCTGGCCAGCAACATCCGTCAGGGCAAGATCAAGGTGGTGTCGCCCCAGTTCGTCGACCAGCATCTGTTCCGCTCCCTGTTGGTGCCGTCTGGCCACAACAACCACCAGGTGATCGCCACCCAGCCCCTGCCCCCAATCATTGTCCACCAGCCCGGAGCACCCCCAGCCCATGTGAACAGCGGACCACCGACGGTGGTGCGTGGCAATCCGGTGATCTACAAGATCAAGCCTTCGGTCATCTACCAGCAGGAGGTGATCAACAAGGTGCCCACTCCTCTGAGCCTGAACCCCGTCTACGTGAAGGTGTACAAGCCGGGCAAGAAGATCGAGGCCCCACTGGCCCCAGTGGTTGCCCCCGCCTACAACCAGCCCAGGGAGTACAACCAACCCAGGGAGTACAACCAGCCCAGGGAGTACGGCCAGCCCCAAGGTTATGGTAGTGCTGGACCTGCCTCCTCCGCCGCCGGTGCCGCGTCATCTGCCGATGGCAATGGCTATGGCAACGAGGCTCCACTGTACAACAGCCCCGCCCCATATAGCCCGCCCAACTACTAGGTGGTCATCCATCCTGGACAGGGGCATCTCCTCAGCTGCGACAGCTGATTTAATTTAAATTTTGTTTTTTTTTCTTTGCCGACTGCTGAGCGCAAATAAATGAAAAAAATACTTAAAACGTAAACGATTTGTGGAAAATATTTGGGGGTTACAAAGTGATTACAAAGCTGTTATTCATTATCAAAAAATTTATAACAGCACACAGAAAATAGTTGAACTTTATTCAAGGCTACACTTAATGTGTCAGACAGCCCACTCTGTCTCATGCAAGTTATATACAACCGAAAAACCTATGTAAAACTAATATCTTGTAAAAACTTTTATTTACCTATTCTTATTCAGTTTGTATTTATTGTATTACTATTAATGCAAAATTTTTAAAGAGTTTTACAATTAATATACCATAGACAGCTCCACAGTCTGCACTGGAAATTAAACCGGAGCCGAAATCATCAATCCACCGTAAACATTGGCTACCTAATAAATATTTTTGGTATGAAAACCCAACGGACTTCAAATCATTTATCGAATCAAACAAATTTTACGAGCAAACATACACAATTAATTATATTTTTAATTGTGATGATACTATTCAACGGCCCACAAAAAAAAACAACTACATATATGAAACTTTCCTAAATAGTATGTTACTTTTTCTATGTGGTTCCTATAATTTTCTGAGAAACCTTACTGGAATAGTAAGGTCCAAAAATATTGGGTATTTTTATGGCCGAGAAATATCATACCAATAATAAAAGTATGTTACTTTTCCTATGTTCATTTTGTAATTTTCTGTGTAACCTTAAATGAAATAGTCGTATAAGTAAACAAGGTTAGACCGAGAAATATTATAACGCAGTTTAACTATAACATCATTAAGCAATAAAGATGTATAGGAATTTAGCCTTATTATTAAAAGCTTTAGTTGTATCTGCGATATTTTTTGAAAAGATAAAACTATATCTCGTATATATTTAACGAAAGATAATTTGGAAGATATTACTATCAATATCTTGAATGAAATTATTTCACACTGTTGTGACCTTGTTTACTATATTTATCATTAAAATGATTAATGGGCTTACAATGGCTATTGATTGTTTCCTATTTATGAAAAAGGCAGTGGAGAATACGTTAACGGAAGTTAATAATAACTAATTTATGTTTTCTCTACTCTTTATCAAGTTCTTCGTTATCTCACCTATTTTTATTACAATTTTAGGCTCATAATCATTATCGAATTAATAAAGTTGTCAGAAGAATGAGCTTTAATATTGTACAAAACTTTTGTTTAAAATGAATAGCATATATACAAATCTATTCCATGGATAGTTTTGAAGTTTTAACAAGGTTGTTATATGCGAACTGAAAACTGTAATTGAAAGAAGTTCTTAATAATGAACGATTTCGCATTTTGAACTCTTGGATCTCAAGTTCACTATTAAGATACAAATTAGATCAAACTATTTGCTGTATCTAATTCCGTACTTTTTAAGCTCAAATGATACCATGAAAACTTCCCTTAGATGAAATTTCAAAACTATAATTGGGGACTATTTTATTTATCTGTCTAATTAGCTCGTCACATGTTTAGATTAAAATGCATTGTATATTAAAGGACTCACTATAACACTCGGAAATCACGCTAAATTCAAGGATTTTAAACAGCCAGCCACGTAGCCAATGCAAATCTTTGGAAATCAGTTTTCCCCTATCCAGTTACCATTCGGTTTCTCTCTTTCTGGCTCCCGGGTCTTATGTCTGCCAATGCGGAACTATTTTCGCTATCTGAACAGACGTTCGGACCTCGATATGCAGCGGAGATTCAAAGCCCGGCTGTTGATTCCGATTCTGTCGTTATAATCATTGTTATTGTAATGGGTACTGGGCACTGGGGTTTTTTGGTTGTGGCTTCTACGTAAGTGGAAGAGACGCCGTGATATGCGCTCGCCGCGATGCGTGCGATCTATCAGCATTTGGCCATGTTTAGCTCGCATCGCGTGGGCTCTGAGCGGAACAGCCGGCACTAGAGTCGCCATCGATCCAAATGTCACGTAGCCGGAGCCGGAGACGCGCCCGGAGCATATTTAAAGTAGTCGGCCACCAATGGAGGGCAGCAGAAGACAGCAGACAGTCCAAGCGGGAGCACACCAGAGGCCAAAGAGCAACTGGAACTGCAACTGGGAGACAAGATGACGAGATCGACCTACATTTGGGCGCTGGCCGCCTGCCTGATCGTAAGTGTTAACGCTCAAAATCTTAGGATTATTTCAAGAAGGGTTCATCTCTGAAACTCTTTTGTAGAGATGACTTCTTTTGTAGTCCCAATAGTTGGGTTACTTCAAGATATATAGAGTATTTTTCTAACCATAGACGGTTTTTTGAATAAATGTTATATTCCTAAGCTGTAAACTGTATAAATACTGTTCCCTAATTAACTTAAAATCACTTTTATAACATCATATAATTTGTTATGTTTGCAACTCCCTTGAACTAAGAAAATCTTGAGTATTTCTTTAAAGTAGTGCCAATTTTAACCCATTTTTCCCCTTATTTTGCAGGCCTGTGCGAGCGCCAACTACGGCGGTCCTCAGGGCTATGGATCCGAATCCGGAGGCCATGGCGGTCCCTCTGATGGCGGTGCCGATGCCGCTTCAGCGGCCGCTGCTGCCGGTGGCGCCGGTGGAGCTGGTGCAGAGTTCGGTGGTGCTGGAGCCGGAGCCGGTGCTCTGGAGTCCGGAGCCGATGCCGTCGGTGTGGCCCAGGCTGGACAGAGCAGCTACGGCTCTGAGCAGAACATCCCCTACAAGCCGGTGAACACCAAGGGCAACACCCTTACCTCATCGATCACCTACCCGCAGAACAAGGGCGAGATCCTTATCCATCGTCCCGCTCCCATCATTGTCAAGCGTCCGCCCACCAAGGTGCTGGTCAACCATCCCCCACTGGTGGTGAAGCCTGCCCCCGTGGTGCTCCACAAGCCCCCAGCAATCGTCCTCCGCAAGGTCTACGTTAAGCACCACCCACGTCGCGTTAAGGTTGAGCCCGTGTTCGTCAATGTGGTCAAGCCGCCAGCAGAGAAATACTTTGTCAACGAGAATAAGCAGGGTTACGGCCAGGGCTCGCAGTCCCATGGTCATGGACATGGCGGACATGGACACGGTGGACACGGACACGGTGGTCATGGACACGGTGGACACGGTTCGGGACCCCATGGTCCTGGCCAGCATGATGGTGGTCGCGCCCTGCCCGCTTACGCGTCGGGAGCCGATTCCGCCGCCGCCAGTGCCGGCTATCAGCTGCTCCAGAGCGGAAACCAGGGTCTGTCCGCCCTCGCCAACATCGCCGGCGAACGGGAGGGTCCCTATGGATCCGCACCCAGTCATGGACACCAGCACTATAGCGCTGGACCTGCCAGTCATGGCGGCTATGCTGCTCCCTCTTATTAAGAAAGATGTGGAGTAGTAACGGATTGAGTGACTGATGCGGCTCCGGAATCCCCTGAAGCAGCTCTCCAGTCACCCGGATATCCGGCAGATTAGTTACTATGTTTAAAAAAAAAAACACAGCCTGATCGCCAAACGCCCATGCCTACGCCCACGCCCACTCATGCACATAAATCCGCACCCAATTCCACCCACCCATTCAACGGCCAAGGGGGCGTGGCACACAGGTTTCTTTGCAAACAAATAAAAAATTTGAAAAAAAAATTGCTAAATGATCTATTATATCGGGAGGAGAACAGTTAAATATATGGGCTTTTCGAATTGTTATAGAAATATTAGCATATAATATCTAACAGCCAATTATTGATAGTATCGAATACACTTTCAGTATTTTATTCTGATGAACTTTTGTTTATTATTTTTTATTTATTAATGAAAAATTATAAATATTAAAGAAGGCAAGAATTAAATACATAGCAAGAAATAAACTTTCTTAAGCCGATATTCGCGGAAAATTGCATATCGCAAACGCAATTAAATAGGGTTTCTTCCTAACACTTTTTTTAAACCCAAATCGGTAAATATAAAATAATCAAAATCATTTTTCATCAATTTTTGGAACGTATAAACCGATACCTTGACAGAATTTTCTTTGTTTCAAAGTATACACAGATTAAAATCCATAAAAACGTTATCTATAAAATGCACAGATTGTAAGAGTCTGATTTAATACAATACTTAATTTCAAAATAATATTTTTCAACATTATTTTCCAATATTAAAGCACAAGATAAATCTTCCTAACAAATTCGCTTGAGTAATAGAGCAAAAATGACTTACCCCCAAATTTGGCCTGACCCGCAAGTGTCGCATATAATCACAAATTGGAAGTGCGAGCTATCATTACACACATCAGTTGTCCTTCCCATTGTTCTGACGATCAAAATTAATCCCACGCAGTGTTCAATAACAAACAAACAGCAAAAACAGCGATAATAATAGGTGATGTCAAGAAGAAATCGGTTGATGACAGGTGGAATCGCAATGTAGGTCACCCGGTGCCGCCCATTTGGCAGTTTGAAAATTCAGCATAAAAATGCGATACTTTTGCACAGCGATTTCAGTCTGTAAGCAGAAATAAATTGGGTGCATTAATAAAATAACCAACTAAACAGAATTAATCGAGCCAACAAAAACAAATTGGTTTCAAGTTCAAACTTTTTACGCGGAGTTTTAAAAAAACAAGCAAAATGAGTCAAGCTTTCTTCCTTTTGGTGATTTTGGTGTTTGTATTCCTAGCTTTCTGTTCGGGACAAGTTAGTATTTTAATGTTAAATAAAATAACATTAATATCAACTGATGTACACTTTTGAATTGAACTAGGCAAATAAAATACATCTTATGCAGGGTATCACAGAAAATTCCTACAACCGAAATTGTCACAGAAATGTATATTGTTTAATTGACGATTCTTAAAGAACAACCCGTACAGGTACGTCTATGAGAAAACTAAAATTAAAATATGTGAACCAAAATGACCAATAAAGTCTGAATTAATAAATGTCTAGAAACATCAGTGCACTAACTGACTTTGGAGACATCTTTAATAACCGAAATATTTCTGTGATACCATAGTGTTATTATCTTTTTTTTTTTTAATAATACCCTGTTCATTGCA